AATTGAAGCGTGACGTCTAACTATTCGCGATTCTGATCTGATGTTAAAAATACTCTTTAAATAGTGTCCGATACGGTTTTTTACCAATAACTTGTGATTGAAAATTTATTGGATTATGGCAACTAAATTTCCTCGTAGACTCAGTTCTTGAATAAAAAAAAACCTTGATTAGTAGCCTATGTATTCTTCCAGGGTATGTCTATATCTATGCCAAATTTCAGTGAGATCCATGCTGCTGTTCTGATGATACCTTCTAATAAACATCCATCTAAACATTCGCATTTATAATATTATTATAGTAAGATCAAAGTTTACCTTAAACATATGTCAGTTAACATGATTTTTTAACTCTACTACAATAGTGCATATAGCTTCCATTTATGTCGTCGCGTTGGCGGAGTCTTTCATATGTTTTGCACTATCCTGTAGACGGATGCTGTGCCGGATATCCGGGATAAAACCTTACTACATTTCCTCTCCAACATATCTTGATATTAACGCTTTTGTCAAAGATACCTTATTGTGTGAGATTTAAAATGTATTCTTGTCTTTATAAGTTTGTTTTTAATTTTGATTAATAAGGATAATGAAATTGACACCGATGGGTAAAGTTAAACCAAAAGTCAACTTCGTTAAACGTTATAGTATTTAATTCTCACAAATTCAACGCGAGTTAGTAGGAATTTTGTCTGTTCTAGTTACATTTTATAGTTTGCTATTACTGTTTTTTATTAAATTTAAATAACAATAAACAAGGAAAATATGATTTTTGTCTATGATTTTTTCTAAGTTTTTTTTCTTTTGTTACAGGTAAGAGCAGCTCAGATAAAATAACACAATAGCGGCGGTACTCGTCTAGACAAGAATGATACACGCTGATATCAGTTCAATGACATTTGTTGTTAAACCGTAGGTTTCCACTGTCATACTTGTATATCATATCGTCATAGAGTGTGTGTTTCGGCAGTGTAAATCAAAAGTCAAAATGTTCTTATACCTAACACAGAAGTCCTGTAGCTTTTAGTTGTGAATTTTATTACTATATAAAGTATTATATTAAGAATCAAACTTTATGGCAGTTTGGTGACTAGCTACGACTGTATATCAGTGGGCCTGGTGGAATATTTCTGACAAGCGCGATCGTATCATCATCGACAAAATTTGTACAGCGCGTATCAAAAATCTCATACCAATTTTGACATAAATGAAGATGACGATACGAAGACGATTGTCGCAAATATTCGTGTTAGGCCTCAAGTCCAAGATCGGTACACTTCGGATATAATTGCCTTTATCCCTTTATGTCGTGTCCGATAGTTTTGTGCAACCTTTCACGATATTCCGAACCGTCATAATGTTTGCATTACATTGTATTAAAGGTATACGTATATTAAAGTGCAATGCACTTAGTAAAGTCAATGTAAGCACTACGTGTACAATGGTGGGAATATACTCTGGGATATTGTAACTGTTCTTTAATACCTTATTGTATCGGCTTTTATTTGTTTCTGGTATTTAGTTTTTTCAATGTGGTCTGGTTTTTTAAATTAAGATATTAATTGAGTTTGCGATCTACAAAAGTTGATATTGCTCTGTTTATAGAACTAAAAGCAAAAATACAAGCTACAAATTTAGGTTTTTATATTATAAGATGGCAAACGTATAAGTGGCCGTCTGAATTCGCCGAAATAGCGAAGTGACCACTGCCCATAGACATCCTCAATTGCAGATTATTAATCGACGGAGGAGGAGACACACAGAAAGATAATATTTCTCCTTAATATGTGTCTCCTCTATCAAATTCACATCCCCTTCCCATTCTTTCCTTATAATAAAAGGGTGGGAAGATTCCTATGAGGTTTTTAACTTTATAAGAACTTCGGGCAAACATATCAAGTGACGAAACTGTACAGTTTTTTGTACTTATAACTGTAGAGTTTTGTCATATACATTAAAAGAAGATAATTAGGGCATGATAATAATTTTGTTTTTTATGCGTATAAATATATTTCACGGCTACACGCGTTTCAGTAGATAACAAAATGTAGGTTGTCTGGGTGAGGGGGCGTGTATGCTTCGTGCATCACTTGGTACAGTCTTTTAATAGCTCAGTTCTCACAACCCTCAACCCTCATCCCTTATACATCAGTGTTATACAGTATCTCGGTGACGGTCGTTCGCGTATTGTGTTTTGTGCTATCAAATATATCGATACGTTAAAAGATTGTGATAAGTCTAATAACAAGACTAGAGTTTTAAATTATCAACCATTTATTACGATACTAGTATTATTATTTTCTCAAATTTCGAATTGATTTGTTAACTAATAATATTGTTGGAAAATCGATTTAATGTTCAATCACCACACGTACCATAAAGGTACTCGTCCATTGGCAATCGTCGGACTCATCGTAGACACGGGTTTGCTTTGCCTTTGAATTCGGGTTGCGAGGATGATGGACGCAGCGCTGTGTAAAATTATACAAAGCAAACTAAAATCCGTTGCGGGCCAATGGACGCGTACCTTAACAGCACAAATCCATTTCTATCTATAAGTCGATCAAATCTTCAAAAACATTCATTCCATGTTACATCTTATCCCTCATTAAGATAGCGGTAAGCGTGGCGTAACTGATTAGTAGATTTGTTTCGGATAGGACACGTCTGACCAATACTTCCCAAGTGAATGGAACATGGACATAGAACATTGCTTAATGTTTTACGTATAGTAATCACAATATAATGAAGTTATAAATACTTTAAAACTGGATGTAACAAGTAAATATTAACTTGAGTATTACATAAGCATAAAAAAGACGACTAAGTCAAGTATTAAAAGACACTTCATTCTTTAAAATCGATCTTTGCGTTTAGAAGCCGAGAAAAAAAATCATTATAACATTTTTTTTGCACAATTCAGTTAATAAGTGCTCAAGTTAAACTTAAAAGTTGGTCTTAAGAACATTATTGTTAAAATATTGTAGTTAAATTTAACTGTTCTCTGCTATTCATTGCAATTAAGTTAGCATTTTAGATATTCTCATTACATTTAAGTTAAAGTTTAGACATCCTTATGGTTGCTAAGTTTTCAACATCTAAGTTAGTGTTCCCCTATGTGTGCAGTTTGCAAGTGTAATATAAATACTTTGAATGCACTTTGCGAGTAACGAGTAAAGTATCAAGAAGTTTTAGTCAGACGCAAAGTAGTTATAACGATAAGAAACGTTAGTACGTTATTTGTACAGTGTTACTAGTTGTCGCCCGTGACGTCGTCCGCTAGTAAAAAAGCTTAATTAGTAACCTATCTGTTTTTCCAGGCTATGTTCTATATTAATTTCAAAATTTAAAGAGATACGTGCAGCAGTTTTGGAGATACCTTCTAACATTCATCCGTCCTTCTCCATCCAAACATTCGCATTTGTAATGTATTAGCTGTCGCCCGCAACTCCGTCCGTCCATGATTAAGAAAAAACTTAATTAGTAGACTATGTTTTCTTCCAGACTATGTTCTACATCTATGCCAAATATCAACAAGATCCATGCAGCCGTTCTGGAGTTACCTTCTAACAATCATCCATCCATCCAAACATTCACATTTATAGTGTTTGTAAAATAGCCAATGTAATATTAACTCGACTAACAGATTTTGATACTTGGTGATTGATTGATGATTGGTATTGATATAGCTATAAAATAACGAAGCACAACTAACTCATCGATATAAAAGCAAGTCATCTAGCTTAGAGCTAGATTTTTTTTTAATATCTGATTTATAATCAGTCAAAATAAATCCCCAAACGATGCGTCATCGAGTGTTGCCGATTTTGGCTCCGGTGTTTTTATCAAAACTCTGGAGAAGAAGAAGAAGAGCTAAAGCTATACAGAAGTTACACGGGGTATGCTTCATTTTAATACTGTTTAAACCCATTTTTCATTGATCGACTTGGCGAGCGATTGGTCTACGCAAATCGCGGCGGTATCTGCGGAAAAATAAGTACATTCCTCGTCGATAGATAGATAATATCGCGCATTTTGTGCTAGTGGAAACAGAGTTTATTATCTTGTTAGATTTGCGTTTCCTATAGATAATAAATGCTTATCATATTTGTTGCAAACTCTACTCCAGTTTATTTTTATTTTCTACTAATTGAATATTTTGGTCACTGCCTATCCCTATTGGTTACAAGCGTGAGTGTACTTCATGTATTGCAAATTAAACTAGTGTGTTACATTGATTATGATTGATTGTTTCAAGGGATTTGTCTTTTTATGCAAGACAAGAAGCTTTAATAAAGTGCCTGACGTTTATAAATTGTTAAAATTTTAAATTGTTTATTTGCAGTTAATTTTTTTTTTTATTTATATCAATCGTTTGAAATGATTTGACTATTTTAATTAGGTAAAAAGTTTTAACCGACATACTGCTTGCTTAATTCTATTATTATTTTTCTTTTTAATTTTTTTAACGAAATTGTGTAAAGGAAAAATTTAAATTAATTTAGTTTCCAATCCCTTTTGAATATATTTTCGGTATTGTATTTGTGTAGACCGAATCGATAACTTTATATTCAAGTTAGTTTGTTTAAGCACTGAGACATTCTTTGCTTAGGTCCCGAAGTGGATTCCTAAGTGAATAACACTTTGTATTTTCTCGTTATTTCCATCTTTACCGTACCCGTTCAATTTGTTCAAAAGTCCTTGGAATTCGAATTAATTTGTAGAAGAACGATTTAAATGTTACGTTATAAAAGTTCGTATATCTCTAAATGAATGTTTTTCTTACGTATAAGAATTATTTTTGCTTGTTTTATTAATTAGTATGTTGTAGAATAAAATACTGCATTACTAGAAAAGGACGGAGATAAATCGTATTTCTTATTAGTCAATTCTTGAACATAATTTTTTTGGCAACTGTTTAACTAATCGTGTAGAAACAGATAAATGTATGTTGTCTCTGTCTAACACGTTCAAATTATCATATGTTTGTCGTTGTGTTGCAGAGCGCGTCGGAGTCGTCGGCGGGTGCGGGGGGCGGCGGGTCGGGGGGTAGTGCTCGGGTCTCCTCTCGCTCCCGCACATCAGAGGAGCCACATATTGGTCAGTATCTATGATTTTTTTAATTGCACAAGATTTCGCTAAAACAGCGAAGTGACGTCACTCTTTCCTTAGACGAAAGTATCAACAGACCATTCAAAGATTTTTTGTTGTTATTTAAATGTTTATTGATTGTTTGTTTATATGTTTTCAGGCAAGTACAAATTATTGAAGACGATTGGTAAGGGTAATTTCGCGAAGGTGAAACTGGCTAAACATGTGCCCACCGGTAAGGAAGTGGCCATCAAGATCATCGACAAGACCCAGCTCAATCCCGGCTCGTTGCAGAAGTTGTTTAGAGAGGTCAGTCACATACAAATTGAGGTTTTCTTAAATATGTCGAATTATAACTGAACACACTTATTTAGAAGCCCCTACCTTTTTGGAGTCGGTTAAAAATCAGAATTGGCACTATTTTAGTTTGTAGCTATTTTTATTTGTCAGGCGCTTTAATAAATTATGTTTATCCTTTCGAATGATGTTTTGTTAGATATAGTACATTGTCATCTATTTACTTAGTTTTTATAAAAATAACCGATAATATAATATACCATATAATACATTAGTATATTGTATAAATTTCAGGTACGGATAATGAAAATGTTGGACCACCCGAATATTGTGAAACTTTTCCAAGTAATAGAAACAGAAAAGACCCTTTATCTCGTAATGGAGTACGCGTCTGGCGGAGAGGTGAGTTTACATAACATATATAAAATATACACAAACAACAAAACCACACTCATAAACCTTTAATAGTAACTCTAGTACTTTGTTAGAGTAGATTATTCCAACTATATCTACACTAAGGCACTCCATTTAAACGAGAGAGTACCTCGCCAAATAAAGATCCGCTGTGTCTGCTCACCCCTCTAGGTTACGGTTGTCATCAAACTACTCAGAGTATGTTATATAACATTCCTGGAGATAGAATTAAAATTTGATAAAGGTTGCTGGAATTAATAAAGTTAGGAATAACTCCTGTCTTGATTATCCATATTAATAACTTTGTTTATTAGTGAAAACTCGTAGTATAAGTAATGTGTGACGTATTGTTTCCAGGTGTTCGACTACCTGGTGCTGCATGGACGTATGAAGGAGAAGGAAGCGAGGGCGAAGTTCCGTCAGATTGTCTCCGCGGTGCAGTACTGCCATCAGAAAAGGATCATACACAGAGATCTCAAGGTGAGAGTAGGTTACCTCAGGGGTTAAGCACTTGACTTGTAATCTGCAGGTCCTTATATATGTTCATTTATCCGACGTTCTTACGGTGAAGGTAAACATCGTGATGCTGCACATATCTGTGAAGAAATTCAAAGATATGTGTGAAGTCAACTCGGACTGAGCCAGTATTGACTATGGCCTAGTCAATAACTTAGGGTAGACTCCGAGTGGGGATGTTATATATTGTGAAAGAAAGAGATAGATTTACATTGATACTTTTTGCTGCTGAATTACCCGTAGAAGAATATTGTTGTCTCTCTTTTATCAAGGACAATGAAAGAGCTGACTATATGATTACTGTTGTGGTTTTGGAAACTATTGCTGGTTTAATTAATATATTTATTTGTAACTTTCAGGCTGAAAATCTTCTATTAGACGGTGAGATGAATATAAAGATAGCAGACTTTGGATTCTCCAATGAATTCACTCCGGGATCTAAGTTGGATACATTCTGTGGCAGCCCTCCTTACGCCGCCCCTGAACTGTTTCAAGGTAAATTATCACAATCAAACAATTATGCTATAATTATTTTTTTATTCAACAGAAGACAAGATATATATCCTTTTTAGGGATCCGTACCTCGAAATGAAAATAACAGAACCCTCACAGGATCACTTGTCCGTTTGTCTGTCAAGACCCTAAGGGACGGACATTACTTCTACCCATACAATCTTACTTACCATCCTGGCAAATATTTATGCTCACTGGAAATCCTTTAAGGCTATCATAGCCCTGGGCAAAATTAATTTTTACTATTCTTTTAACTGGGTCGCACACCTGTGGCGCCCCTTTCTGTCCAGTGCCCTGGGCGGTCGTCCAAATACGCCCTACAGCTAATATTGCTATTGTGCTCCCTATAAATGTCAAAAAAAGTTTTATACAATCCTTGTGGAACTATGTTATCGTCATCATCAGCTCACAATACGTCCCCACTGAGAGGCTCGGAGTCTACCCTAAATTAGTGACTAGCTCATAGTCAATGTTGACTTAGTGTGGGTTGACTTCATACATTTGAATTTCTTCTCAGATATGTGCATCACGATGTTTTCCTTCACCGTAATAAGAAAGAGGAGGTTATCAATGTGTTTGTTTGTATGTTTGCAGGCAAGAAGTACGACGGTCCGGAGGTGGACGTGTGGTCTCTGGGTGTGATCCTGTACACGCTGGTGTCGGGCTCGCTGCCATTCGACGGGTCCACACTGCGCGAGCTGCGCGAGAGGGTGCTCCGGGGAAAGTACAGGTACAATACCTCATCATAGTATCTTCTATTATATTAATCGTAATTATATTGATATGAAAATATATTAACGTCTTTGTTTGTTTGTTTGTCCCTAGCGACTCCGTCTGCATTTAATTAAAAGAGAACTTAATAAGTAACTTATGTGTTCTTCCAGACTATGTTCTATATCTATGACAAATTTCATCGAGATCAGTTGAGCTATCCATCTAAACATTCGCAGTTATTATATAATATTAGTAAGATAATAACTTAATATAGATATTTAATAAATAAATCAGATTAGAGATAGCCAAGGCCTTCTCTCCATCAGTTAATTACATTCTATTCTATTGTAAATGTACACTTATATACTCTCTTAATGACTCTGAGTGCAAATAAAATTCATATGTATGTTTTTGTATATAAACAGAATACCATTCTACATGTCCACGGATTGTGAAAATCTACTGAAGAAGTTTTTGGTACTGAACCCGGCGAAGCGCGCCTCCTTAGAGAATATAATGCGGGACAAGTGGATGAACACCGGATATGAAGATGACGAGCTCAGGCCGTACGTCGAGCCGCAGCAGGATTTCAAAGATCATAAGCGGATAGGTGAGGGAATTGCAACTTTATACACTTAGTAATAAAGTGGTGATTACTGTGAAGAAATATATGCAAGCGATTTTGAACCTTATTAATGTAGAAATAGGTACTTATAGGTTCAAGGTTAAATTATATTGTTATAAGTTTGTTATTGGAAGAAGAGACTGAAAATCTAATAAAAATAATATAATTCCAGAGGAAACTACTTGTAGTCTACAAGTAGTTTTGACTACTTTTCATGTAAACTTTTACACTACAAAACTACATATAACGACAAAACAGAAAATTGTAACTCAAAGCTAAATAGTCTTAACAGCTACTTATGCCAACTATTTACTTTGCTAATGCTACTTAAAACACCCTTAAGTACTGTGGGATACTTAATAACGGAATAAGTACGTTGATACTGGTTTTGCTTACACTGTGATATGAAATATGTAGACAGAGTTTTAAACGAACTGTAAAATAACAAAAAGCATAACAACGTTTAATAAGGAATAACTAGATGGCGCTATTCTCAATAATAAAAGGTTTTTTAACTTACACAAAAGATATTAATTTTGTCGTATATTTAACTTTGTTAAAGATAATTAACCTTCGTGATAAGAAAAATCTCCATATTATTCATACTGATATTATTAAGAGGAAAGATTTGATTGTTTGTTTGTATTGAATAGACTTCGAAACTTGTTAACTGATCTGAATTTTTACACTGTTGTTAAGCTACACTATCCTCGGGTGACATAGACTATATTATTAGACTAGCTGTCGCCCACCACTCCGTCGGAGTGGAATAAAAAAAATATTTGTAGCCCAAGTTTTCATCCATACTATGTTCTATATGTATGTCTAATTTCATCGAGATCCATGCAGCCATTTTGGAGATATCTTCAAACAAACATCCATCCATCCGAATATTCGCGTTTATAATGTTTTCATTCCGCGAGAGCATCTCATAGTTGTTTTTATAAAAAAAAAATATTTAAAAGAATGTAATTTTAATTTTACATAATATCTATATGTCTCATATCACTGCTTAGCTAAAAATATATTTATAAATACGTTGTTACATTTCATGCAAACACAACAAACGGCACAGCGCAAGTTGGTATGTGACCTGACGCGAAATTGTTAGTCTTTTTTTATATGTTAATTCATCGTGTATGTGGTATTCGACAATTCTGTCTTGTTGTGCGTCGAACGGAACGACCTGAAATAAACGTCATCTGTCAAAGTGACGTAAACTGTCAAAATCAACATGCGTGTGTGCTAAGCTTTGATATATTTAATCTATGACAGATTATGGATCCGATGAGACAGAATTATAATTTCGCTTTTGTCTGCATGTTTATAGTTGTGTTAGATTAGTAAGGTGTTTAGGTAGATAATGATTGTTGCGAATAAAAATTCTCTTTAAGAGAAATAGCTTTAAATCTGTATATGCTAAGACTTTAGTTAAAAAAGTAAGGTATGTAAGGGAAATAATTGAATTTGCTTGCATTCTATTAGTATTTTAGGTGAAAAATGTTCTTATTAGTTAGGAAACGTTATATATTTTTGTTTCCTTGAGTAATTTTCGTATAAGTTAAAGTAATTTATAGTTCGATTTTTTTTTAAATAACTTGAAAAATACACAATCATTGTAATCAAATTAAAATAAAATTGTGTCATAAGTAAATATAGAGATATATAAACAAGTAGGATTAGATATTAGAAAATAGTATGAGTCGAATTCAATTCAAATGGAACATTTTAACAAACTAGCAAGAACGAAAAAACCTTAATTAGTAGCCTGTGTTCTTCCAGACTGTGTCCTGTATCTGCCAAATTTCAGCGGGATCCATTTAGCTCCTCTAAATCTTTAGAACCAACCTTCAAACAAACATCCATCCAAACATGCGCATTTATAATATTAGTAAGATGTTTCTAAATAATTTTACCTTTTTTTTTTAATTTTATGACCTGGTAACATAGACCTTTAGGTCATAAATTTTACCTTTATAAGACTGTATTCACAGACTTATTAAATACAGACATGTCAATCATCATCATGTCAATTTAAAACAGTAAAACTTTCCTAAATAAATCCATAGGATAATATATGATATTTTCACTCAGCGGAATAATAAACTAAATTTCTCATTTCTATTGAATTCGACAATAAATATATTGGTTGTTTTAGTATTTTGTGTGTAGACTTATTTGCTTGCTTTTAAATATTGTATTAATGTTCCATGTCTATCTGCATGTAAGTCTATGGTCTTGTGCTAGTTTTAAAGTGAACTTTAATGTCCACAGAGGCGCTTGTGTGCTTGGGCTACAATAGACAAGAGATTGAGTTCTCTTTGGCTGAGGCGAAATATGACGACGTGTTTGCGACGTATTTGTTGCTGGGAAGAAAAAGTACTGATGTAAGTTGATATTTTATAATTGTCAAATTAAATTAGTCGTATGCAGAGTTGGAAATTAAATGAGAAATGCGATGTTAAAGTTTTTGCAGGAATTGTTTTTCTTACTGTTGGTTTCTGAGATAAAAATCTCTTTATCTGTATATAAAATATCCTCATCCCTGTAATTTTTGACAAAACAGAGATAACAATATGTTTTAAATGGGATTTTTGGTCTCAGAAACCCACGGTAAGTCATATGGCAAGTTCCATCCCAGATCTTTGTTTCTTTTTTTGTAAGATAGGGACAAGTTAGGTTAGTTACATTATAACTCAAGAACGGTTTAACCTATTTGGCTGAAACTTGGTGGGGAGATAGCTTAGAATTTGGAGACGGACATAGGATACTTTTTAACCCCTTTTTTTAATTTCGCATGGACCGAGTCGCGGGTAAAATCTAGTTTATCTTCTTACTCTTACTAATATTATAGTTGCAAATGTTTAGATTTATAGATGGATGTTTGCTAGAAGGTATCTTCAGATTTGCTGCATGGATCTCGCTGAAATTTAGCATAAATGTAAAACATAGCCTGGGACAACACATAGGCTACTAATTATGTTTTTTATTCAGCACGGGTGGAGTCGCGGATAAAAGCTAGTTGATATATAATAAATATGAATATTGTCCGTCCTTCCAGCCGGAGTCTGACGGCAGTAGGTCGGGCTCGTCTCTGTCTCTGCGCAATGCAGCCGCGCCACAGACACAGCCGCAGCAAGCCAACGCGCACTCAGGTACCTACGTCTTTATATCTATATATGTATATATTGTTAGGAAGAAAATCCGATACTGCCGGTGTACTGGCACAACACTAGCCTTACTGAAATGTCGACGTTTATGTCCCCTCACTAATCATTCTGACACTTGATTTTGTAATGAAAGCGCGACATTCACGACAAAGGATTTATGTCATGTCTCAATACTTCCTCCTTCAGTACTGTTGATTTTTATTCATATGTACTGTCTCTTTTTTTAACAATTCGTATGAAAGAGATGACGATATGTATCCAGATGCTATGTTAGATTTACAATGTTTAAGTTAAGAACAGTTTTTTTTTTTTTTAATTTATTGTCGTGTAGGTCAGTGAATATGTAAATATCGTTCAATTTAATCGATTTTGAATCGAATGATTCGATTAATTTTTGTTATCTGTTTTGAAGAAATTATAAAAATAGGTTATTTTTGCATATAAATTATTGAGGATTATTTTTCTTATATCTGATATTTTCATATAGTTTAAGTAATATTTTGAATTTTAATTAAATTTAATAAAAGCTGCAATAAAATAGATAATTAATATTTCGAGCAAAACTAAGCTTAAATTGCGCTTAGGGCATAATTGAGGGAGCTTAGCTTTCTAACTGGGTACATAATCTATATTACACTTGACAACCATAAGTGACGTCTCCGCGTGACGTTTGTTTTGGCGCGAAAGCAAATGTCACTTATCTGTCATTCTTTGACGTTTTGAATGTTTAGATAGATATGTTATGGATTGTTTTTTTTTATTTAATGTGTGAATTCTCACTATTTCTTTCTTCTCTTTCATTTGTAGTATATAATTAAGATTTTCTCCCATTGAATGTTTTACTGAATGACAGTCATTGACATTTCCTTTGCATCCGTGTTTATGGTTTATGATTGTCAAGAATGTGTTTTTTTTTGTATTTATTATCACTCTGGAAATCCATTGTGTATCGCTTTTTATTTTTATTGTCTATTATGTGTGCTTGATATGTCGTCTACCTGTCACAACTATTCCCCCTGCCTTGGGTATATTGTTTCGTATATCTCACGGGGCTCAAAGTATATCTTCGCATATAAAACTAAATAGAATAAAATAGGAAGAAAGGATTTTTATTATCAGAATATTTTATCTCGTAATAATCACAAAAAGGTTAACGGGAACGAATTAGTTTTGAATGATTCGATTACAATTATCAATCGATATCAAAACTATTTAAAACTAACACAAAAGAAAACCAAATTAAATTACTTTCAAGGAAAATTAGTATTAAAAAAAAATAGAAACATTCGATTGATTTATATGCGATTGTAAATTGATTCACGCGACCTTTTTCATTCTTTTGAGCACTTGACGCGGTTATTGGAACGCATGTACACCAAATGTGACACTTTGGGTACATACACCGGATCAGGGTAGTAGGGGTAGGGCGGGGGAGTAGCGTGAGGGGTGAGGGTAACTGGCGGGCGTTGCGCAGGCGCGTGCGGGTCGCCGTCGCACCGCGGCGTGCAGCGCAGTATCTCTGCCTCCGCGCGCCCCGCCGCCTCGCGCCGCGCCTCCTCCGGCGCCGAGGTGCTGCGTGCACAAGGTAACCCGCCACTTTCCACACCTCCTCCTTCTTGCGGAAACCTCCTCTTCCTTTCTCTTACAACTCCACTACTTCCACCTCTTTATACCCCTTTGCACTTCTTGATACATCTTAACATTTATCACCTTATTGCTTTTCTACACCTTTCACTGCCTTGATTTGAATTTTCAACCTTTTTTGTGTCTCCTAATTAGTTTCTCTCTCTTGTTACTCTTGGGGTGTGCATGTTTTTGTTCGTTTAAGTACTTGTTTGCAAGTTTCACTGTTTGCGGGAAAAAATATTCGATTTTTAGCTTGTTTTGAGCTATCATTTATGTTTTTGTTTGGGTGTAAATTTAACCATTTTTTGATGATTTTAAAGCTAAAATACGTTGAACAAGTTTGATAGATTTGATTTGATAAATTAAGTGACAATTGTTAAATATTTATGAGCAACATGTATCGATTACACAAAATAAATTCCTATATTTATATTTTTATTGCACAAATGCTTTTTTATGCTATATGCTGCTTTTAATTTATATTAGCTTTTTATATAGAAATTATTTTCTAAATAAATTTTGTTAACAATATTTTAATGTATTTACAAATTTTAATTTTAATTATTAATGATAATATTTGCATTTATTATTATAATTATGTGTATGCAAGGGTTAAAATGATATAATTTTATACATCCTGTATCCTGTATAAATTCGAACCTACGTGGCTAGATAAGCGATCATCGCTTCGAGGCGATTCCATAACGTATTTAAAACGTATGAAACTGACATGCGACAATCACGTGACTCTTCGAAATTTCCTTATAGAATCGCTCGGAGCAAATGCACTTTGTCTAGGCCCTTAGTATAGCGAAATAAATATTGCGGTCCCTTGGGAATCAAAGGGTTCGTTCAAGACGACAGTTCGTCTTATCCAGATTTGACTGTAGTTACGCATGTAGTATACAGGATGTACAATTATAAAATAAAGTTAAATAAACCTGCTTAAAATAATTCCCTTACATGTAATATTGCTGGTATTTATTATTAACATTAATGTTCCTTTTTGCATGATTTTATTTATCTTTACGTTTTTATTAACTTTAGAGATTTTACTAAGCTTTAATATTTGATATGTTTATAGACATTATTAATCGTTTTTTTTATTATGAGCATTAAAAGTATGCGAAATATTGAACAAAATTATTTATCTAATTTCCTGAATTAACGCGTCATTTTTGACAAATATTTTGTTTTTATTTGAATTAGGGAATAACATGTCTAATAGAATACATTATAATAGAGATCGCTTACTGTAAATGCTCATATGAAAAAAATAGCTTAATAATGTATTATGGGTTTGAAAATAACATTTTTATGCGTGAGGTTAATTATAAAGCTTCGTAATTTTGTATATGGAAGTATTCGGAAGTGTAAATACGAGTCGTATTGTGGCTTTCAGTTGGCACAACTACGAGCGCCGCAAACAATACAACATCAACTGCTACAACCACCACTTCTAACTTCAAAAGACAGGTAATTTATATCTAGATTTTATATTAGCATGTTCCTTCTTCTTGAGGTGCCTCTCCGACTAGCGAAGGTTGGCGTTCTCCATATTTTCCCTTGTCTCTTGCGAGGCGAAAAAGTTGAGCGGTACTCGCGTGTATGTTACTTTGTTTTTTTTTTTCTACATCAGTGTATCTTGCCGTCTTACTAATATTATAAATAAGAATGTTTAGATGGATATATGTTTGTTTGAAGATATCTCCTGAATTTCTACATGAATCTTGCTGAAATTAGGCATAAATATGAAACACAGTCTGGAAGAACACAAAGACTACTGATTGAGTTTCAATTACGCGCGGACGGAGTCGCGGGTGACAACTACTTTTTCATAATATTTAATGTGGTCTGCCTCGTATAAAATAAGTTTGACTTTCTGATTATTGTAAACATATTTTTTTTAATATTCTCAACCATTATAACCTATCCATTAAAAACAAAAGACCCATGTAGCTGTTCTAGAGATATCTTCCATCCATTAATTCCTCCATCCATACATCCAATCATATTCATTTCTAATTAGTGACGTGTCCAAAATATTATGTCTCGTGCCATTAGTTAACGATACTAATAAGATAGTTAATTTTTTCAGAACACAATCGATTCGGCATCAATCAAAGAGAACACAGCGCGGATTGCTCAAATGCAGGTATGACTTCTATTTTCATCATTTTAATACAGTGTTTTTTTATCATAAGGTGACAAACGAAGTGACCGTGACCCATAGACATACGCAATTGCATATGCGTTGCCTACCTTTAATCGACGGAGAAGAGGATGCACAGAATATTTTACCTTTCCATGCATCCTCTCATTCGGAAAGTCCACTTCCACTTCCTATCCTTTATAAGAAAAAGGGTGGGAAGAGAAAGAGGACTAAAATTAGGCCTATGACAAGTACACTCATCAGACGAAAGGCGGAATTGCTTCCACTTCACACCTGTTTTCTGTATAAATCAGAATATTATACAGGCTATATCAAGTTTTCTCACTTATTTCAACTTCCAGAAATAAATGTCCTTAACTATACGTCCTAACAATAAAAAGCTAGCTTTTGTATTTTTATTCATATTATGAATCGTATATAATAGTTTAATAAGCAATTATATCAGGTACAGAACACGACACGACCGAGCAGCGCGCAGCCCAAGCTGGAGCCGCGGTCGCGCACTCTGACAGGCGGACAGCGCCGCACTCCGCTCGAGCCGGCCGCGCCGCACGCGCAGCACGCACCGCACGCGCCGCACTCGCAGCATCCCACACCCGTCAAACTCTCCCCGCCCAATGACACGCCCAGGTATGCACATCCGACTCGAAGGACCATTATTACTGTCTAATTTATTGTATACTCTAAGCTGATATGTAGTTATTATAAATAAAATATATATTAAATCTTATCAGAAGGCAAACACTTAATTATAAGTTAAATAAAATGATGTGAAGAAAAAGAACATGCTGTATCTTCTGTTTGTCTCTTATTTAAGGTATTTTGAAGTATGAATTAAGGCATCTAAATTGTTTTGTGGTCATTTAGTCCCTTAGTGAAGATTTCTCTATTAACTTACGCCATGTAATCCGACTCGAAGGATCATTGATCATTGTTTTATCCATACACCTATTTATATATAATAAAAGAATTGTTAGATAATTTGTAAACGGTATCATATTTAATATATTTATGATAAAATATATATTTATAATGTACACTTTCGTATATAACTAACGTACATATATCCCTATTTATGATGATATGATATGATTGATGATATCGCATGTGGGCCATCAACTAACAGCATGATATTTTTACAAACGCGACAGTTCAACACAACCGGAGACTAAGAACGGTGTGGGGGGAGTGTCGGGGGCTGGGGCGGGGGCGGGGGGAGTGAACGGGAGTGGTGGGGGGACGGGGAGCGCGGGCGGCGGGGGGTCTGCCCCCTCGGGGGGTAAGACCCACGTCAAAAGTGCCTCCATCTCGTCTGGCAGTGGAGCCCCGCCGTTAACTGACTCCGCGGCACATAACGCGTCCGCGCGGGACCTCGCGCCGCCTCGCCCAAGGTACAAGGGCTTTGCTTCGCATAGTTATCGCCTTGAGGGGTTTAGCTGTAGGGGGGCTTATAGCGGTTTCATTTTTTTAAAGCGTTTGGAATCGACACTTCTTATTTTTTGTAGGCTTTGGCGTGCACATTTTTAGTTTTTGATTGATTTATTTTTCCTGTGATTGAGTGCTTTTTTATCGATTTTTGTTACTACGGATTAGTCAATGAAATTTATCAGAGCGAATGGAGGTTTATGTATGTATGGATGAAATTATAAATGTTGTTTAAAAATTTACCCTTTGCACAGTCGTTAGATTTCTTATAAAGGCCTTTTAATTTTAATGGGAAAGCACTTGAGTTTTTTTTAGCACTGGAGTTATTTCGCTATTCTATTTGCACTTTTCAGTAATTTTAGATTTTTTTGTAGTAATTTTCAATGGTTGAATATTTTTTATTTAAGCGTTTTATTTTGACTTTTTTTAGAACAGGTCGTATTTTAGTGTTTTTTATTATAATATATATTTTCATTTCTTTTTTTTTTAGAATTAGCAATTTATTCTTGATAAGACATAAAAAGTTTAGATTATGGACCATGTTGTAATGTTATTACGTTATCGTATTAAGGTGTCATGTTATTGTGGTTGCATAGCATGATAAAATGGTCAACAAGTTTACTTTGTAGGACAGAGTTTAAAATAAAGTTTTATTTTGTTTTATTGTTTATAATAATGTTTATATTTACATTGAAAATTTTCTTTTTTTTTTCATTCTAACTTATGCATGTTTTATTTTATATTTTTATAATTTATTTATTTTATTTCAGTATTTATTATTTATTAATATTTAATTTACTCCGATATAATATATTTATTTTAATATTATAACACATATGTAGTACTTTTATTACAGTTTACTTCAGAAAAAGGTGTATATTGTCGCACTAAAAATTTTCACAAACAAAATTAATATGACTCAAACTCATTAATTTGTTCCTGCAAATATTTCAAACATGAGTTTATTTTTTATGACAATAATTTAAAACAGCCTTATATTCTGTACAAGTTGATAAAAAAAAGGAAAAATGAACCTTAAGGCTTATAGTAATAAAGAACATATTACCTTGCAGCTTGAACTCGAGCCTGTCCAGTGGCGGTACAGGCGCGGGCGCGACCGCACGCCGAGAGTTCCCCAACCCGCTCGTGTTCCCCAGGAATGTGCCCTCTCGCTCCACCTTCCACTCAGGTATGTTCACCTCCTTTCTACTTTACTGCGTAAAGGTGGATAACTCTTTATACCCAGGTAGAGATGCAGAATCTAAGCTGACATTTATTAAAGTTATGAACACCTCTAGTTTTTTTAAAGCAAACTAAAATTAAACATTAAATAGATTTTAAATTAATAGATAATACTTATCTATATATAAAAATCAATTGCTGTTCGTCAGTTTCTTTAAAACTCGAGAAAGGTTGAACGGATTTATCTTATCTTAGTCTTGAAATGTTCGTGAAGGTCTAAGGAATGTTTAAAAGGTGTAAAAAAATCAAATAATTGCCGGGAACTAAGTTTATTTGATGTTTATAGTTGCTGAAGCACTACAAGTTTTCTTCTATATCCTCAGCCTTATTGTAAGGAGAGGAAAGAGAAGAGGATTTACTTTACATAGGGGAAGGGATAGGAAAGGGGAATTAACTCTACAGTTTTTTTCTCCATTAAATGCGTTCTTTACATTATTATAGGCGATATAAGGACGTTTAAATAGTTTTTATGTATGTATAATATTTGTGGTGGCAGGTCAAACACGATCTCGCGGGTCGAGCGCGGGCGGGGCGTACGGTGACGGCGGCTCCCCGCACCAGGCGCGCCCCTCCTTCTTCTCCAAACTCTCCTCGCGCTTCTCCAAACGGTCAGTCACACATACATACATACATACATCTTTATAACATCCTTTTATAATGTAACCTCTGTCCTAATTGTACAATATTGTCGTCTCTTTCATTCTTATTGAATTTAACAGAGATAGCTATAGTAAATTTAAAGTACCAATAGCTTAAAGGTTTTAAGGGTACGGATTTCTGATCACGAGGTCGGGTTCGAATTCGAAGTTCTAGAGTTTAGTTGCAATGTTATAAGAAATATTAGTAGATTAACAAATATATGCTAAGATATTATAATAGAATAGTGTTCTTGTATAGTGTCGGTGCCTCAGTGGTCAAGCACTTGACTTGCAATCTGCAGGTCCTGGGTTCGAATCCCGCAATGTACCAATGTGTTTTTCCATTTCCGATTTACATATGTACATTTATCCGACGTTCTTACGGTAAAGGAAAACATCGTGATGCTGCACATATCTAAGAGGAAATTCAAAGATATGTGTGAAGTCAACCAACCCGCACCTGACCAGCATGATTGACTATGGCCTAATCACCCGTAACTTAGAGTAGTATCCGAGCCTCTCGGTGGGGACTTATAGTGAGCTGATGATGATTGACTGTTCTTGTAATATAATTGAAATTCATAGCAATAATTCAAATTTTATTTAATATGAGTTTCTTAAGTAATTGTTCTCTGTTTTTTTCAATAACAATGTAAGGGATTATAATTTGCATTGAAAAATGACGTTTTGCCAGACGTCTTATAGTTTCAAAATAATTATAAATTTCTAATTATATTTGTATAGCAAAAAATCTGGAATATATATTTTTATTTGATATAAATCAGTTTTATACTTTTAATTTATCGATAAGTTGATAATTGTTATGGTACATCACTAGTAACACATTCAATGCCACCTACAAGTTCAGTTTATTGTATATCGTAGTAGCATTGAATGTGTTAAACTTAATTAAAGTTATCGTCTGGCAAACTTTGGGATAAAATCTAAATAAAAATTAACTATTCATAACTCTATACATATCTCGCTAACTAACAACTGTTACTAATCATACAAACATACAAACAAACTTATTTTTTGCTGTAATTGTCACATCATCAATGCATTTAATGCTTTTTGGACATCCCATAGTTATCTTAAAAGGCAATTTGTGGTACTCAAAAATCTTCTCTTGGTCTTCGAGATTTAGTTTGAAATAATCTAATTCTAGAATAAAAATAATAAAAGAAAAAAATAATTTTTCGTTATAAAAAATTTAGATACAGCGTGTTCAAATTTTATTTTACATTTTTTTTATATTTAACTTGAAAAAATTTTTGCATGGATGTTTTTTTTTGAGTATCACAAAATGTCTGTCAAGATGTTTAGCTGTAATTTCGAGGTGTTCCTTCCATTGCCACATTCAGTGTCAGCTTAGCACCGCTTGTCATGCATTGTTTATGATCCAATTCACCAATACCATTAAATGTCGGAATTGTTTTTTATTACTACCTACTACTATAGATTTTGACGCCCTAAATGGGATTTGTTTATCTCCTAAAATAGTTTTTTGTTCTACTAAACAAAGGGTTGTGGAAAAGGACTCGTAAATTACAGATTTCGAAATTGAACAGAAATTGAGCTCTTTTTGATAATGTTCTAATTAACATTAAATTGGGACATTTCAGAAAGGGCTTTAAAATAACTGTTCGAAGTTTTTTTTTGTTGTATATAATATCCATTTTTTTACACTTGTCTCTGTCTCTCACTTTTGTCACTCGAATTGATTAACCCATTCGTAATGTCTCTTGTCATAATCGATTTCTGTGTTGTTTTTTTTTATTATTTTCAATTTGTATATTTTTTATTGATTGTCGAATTGTCTCCCTCTAAATCCGAGCTCCGACTTTTTGTATAGTTTACATATTATTTTTTTATCGTTTTTTTTGTTTTGGTCTCGCGTCGATACAGGGGATGCACGATGCTATAACTCCTTACCTCCCTGAACTGACTTACGCACATATCGATTTTTATATATATTTTTTATACATCGAACACTATCGCGATCGATACGGTTTCTCTTTTCCCTTTTTTAAACAGACCGTTTGTACTGTAGGATCAAAAGCATGATGTATTCCCCTAAAATCAAATGCCTATTTTATTTTTATTTATTTTGATGAATTAAAATGTTAGAACGAATGCAATGCCGTGCTTTTAGTGTTGTCCATTTCGCATATCGATAGTTTTGAAAAGTAAACGTAAGTATTATAGGTTTTAACCTCGACGTCCTGAGAGGTGTACGGATATTGACTTGACATCTCTCGTGCATCCCTTGTGTAACGCGACTTTATCTTTCTAACCGTACGCTTCTACTAACGAATGTCGACGGTCGTATCCTTTCCGGTTTTTAAAATATCGATATCGATAGTCTATCCACAACCCTTTAATACTGTTGCAACGTGACGGACTTAGTTTTTTTATGTATTTTTTTATTTATATTTTAAACAAGGGAGTGTTTAGTATTGTGCATCTTTGCGACGCGAGAACAAGTGTTGCCATGAAAGATCGTTTTTTTAAATGGCAACACGCGGATGTTAGTGATTTTTTTGAAATTGTGAACAAGAAAAGGCGGACCGGAGATGAAGAGGGTGGTGTTTAGAGGTTTCACTGACAACGTTCAATTGTATGCAGGTTAAATCAGAATCCGTGATCGAAGACTTGGACCGCTCGAGAGAAACAAGAAGGATTAGGTTAATATATCGAAATAGGCAATAAATGTGCAAATCAAAATGTTATTGCTTCATACAAACATTTATCTTCACAATTTTGGACAATAGATTGTTTAATTCTATTCAGGGTATTCATTGTTACAAAGTTTTTTCGTAACTAAAAAAAAATCAGATTTTATTTAATCGCAATGCCTCTTTTTTTGTTCCTTCGATCCGCTGAATAGAGAATCGTAAAGTACTAATTTTTATTTAACAAAGAATTGAATTATTTTATAAATAAGCGTAAGCGGTCAATTAAGACCGATATCATTTACTTACATTTTTTTATTATTTTTTTTATAGCGCGGCGACATATCTGTATACATGTTGTTTCTGAAATAAAACGTTTGAGATATCCGAACATGTTAAAATTGGATTGTTCAATCTAGATTGTCCCATGTGTACAATTTGGATTGTTCCATTTCAATTGAGGTTTATGAACGTGTACAATTTGTATTGATGGAAAGAACGATGTGCAGAGAACTAGTCCCGCCGCGTGACGTCACGCATTTCATATTAGATTGTAAGATGTTCGAAATGATTGTTTTCGAACGACATTTGTTACATTCCACTTTTCATGTTTATTTTCTGTTTGTTTCTAATGCAAATTTAGCACAAAATCGTTCATAAAATTTTTATATAATAAATCTTATCATTAACTAAAATAGCCTAGCTCTGGAAAGTGAATTCAATATCTCGAAATTCCTTACATAATTTTACGATTTTTTATACATATTTAGTTACTTACTTCATCAAATTTACCGGAAAAGAGGTAGTCAAACGCAATGCGTTTAACTTCAACCTTAACATCTGTGTGAATTTACAAAAAGCTCAGTTTTGAGTCAAACTCTTTGAAAGTTCGAAAAGAACTTCTTTAGAGTGGCTCTGTAACTTTATATAGGAACTAATTTGGCTTTTTATTTAATAAATTCTAGCCTTGAAATTTTAATGACATATTACTACGCATGTAACATAACACGACAGGCGACCGGAATAATTTTTTCCTTTATCGTCGTGATGTCATGGTTAAAATATCGTGTTTTTTAATTCAAAAGTTAACGATACTAATTGAGTTATTAAAAGTCTGTAATAATAAAAGATTAAGCGGTTATGTGAGGAAACTTTGTGATATTGTTTGCAATATATTTATGTATCTACGAGTCATTGGCTCAATCGCGTTTTTCTACGTTTAGATGCTTATTTTTATTTACTAAAAAACTTTCTTTACGGTCATAGTATAGTGTTTTTTGAACCGAGTGAGATGTAACAGTATAGACGTAGCTAATAACTAGGTATATAAATGCTCGCGGCCCATTTACTGGATTTTGGTACAAATACTCAAATGTTACCGTAAGCCTGATTCTTATAAAAAATGGTTCGTAATTTTGGGCCGATTAACTTTTCATACTCTCCTATACAGCGTGTTTAAAAATAATAAAAATTTTCATACATTTTTAAAAAAAAAAACGATCTCTATTTTTGTGAATAGGAAAATTTACGAAATTATTCAATCTATAATCTTTTAAATTCTAAAAAATCACTGTTAAATCAATATGTATAAAACATAGTAGTAATTTTTTTTTGTTAGATAATAGAAGTTTCCATATTTTCATATTATTCGTACGTAAGTTAGTACTAGGGATTTATAAATTTGTACATATGTGTACGTTTGAGTGAAGCTTGTAGCGGTGTGATCCATACGTACGTTTTTTTTTCTTATATCCATCCAGAGTTCCATATTATATGAAATAAGTACATTAAATGTTGAATAATCCACTGTTTATAAAGTGGCTATTTTCTGTTAATTATATTCCATTTAACGCATTCATTTAATAAAGAAATCTTCTAAATTGTACCGAACGATATAAGCAATGTTATAATACAAAATAAAACTCTTGAATAATTAACAAAAATCTTATATGTTATTAAATTATTCAAAGTTTCGTGAGACATTATACTAAACTGATATAAAAACGGCTAAACACTGACTTATATTTGTCCGGTGGCGGCACCGACTAGTTTCGAGCCCTTCATCAGGATGAGTGGTACTGGTATTATTTCGCGAACGCGGGCCGTTTTTATATCAGTTTGTCTTATATGTTGTTGAAATATAAACGTACAATTTAGTTGCTCATTTTTTTTTCTTTTATTAACATGTAATTTCATTGAAAATAATTATTTTAATAAAACATGTCTATAATTTTATATTTCAGGAATTTAAAAGCAAAGATATTTGTGTAGAATTTAAACATTTTTAACACAATTAAATGAAGAACAAAATTAGTTTTCCCTTAAATTAACTAATTTGTTACATTTTTTGTGTTTTTTTGTAACTAGCTAAATTGTGGGATGAAATTTATGGAAATTTATTATAAATGGGTGCTGAACGTTGCTAAATCACAAGATTTTTTTTTTTAGAAAATTAATATATTTTTTGACTAAAATAGAGTACAGCTCTATAAATTTATGGGTTATCAAAAAAATGCAATACTGATTGCTAATGAAAAAAAAAATTGGTTATAAAATAGAATTTAAAAAAATATTCTGTGCAAAATAATACATACTCTATATCTCTATAAATTTTAATATGTGTATTAGTGACATTTTTTTCATATATTTTGAAAATGTATCCAGTATTATAGTTGTTTTGTTTTCTAGACAAAAGGTATGTAAACGCAAAAAAAATTTTTTTTTTTTAATAATAAGTAATTTCATGATTACATGGGTACATGTGCATTCAAATATTTAGTTTATTCAACAACATTAAATCAAGGCAGGCATTTTTTTTTTACAAAAAAAACTAAGAAAACTTTGGGAATTATTTATCCGATTGTTGTTTTGGAAAAAATACATTTGTTTAATATTTCTCAATATTCAATTTTCAACTTTATATTTGAGATGGTTTTGATTTTTTTTTGTAATTTTAGTAAAATTTCAATATTAAAGTGTAATTTTTTTTTATGAGTGAGCGAGAGAGAAATATATTGGAATACTGTGTGTTGTGTAAATGTGTTCTAAATTCAAAGCAATATGGATTATGTGAGTGCTTCTTTGGATTAACAGATTTTTTGATTAACAAATTGTCGTTTTATTTTAAAAAGAAGTATACCCAAATGTTCCTTTTTAGGTTAAGTGTTCTCTGGAAATATTCTACAAGAGTTTTTGAAATGATTTCTTAAATGATAATTGATACAGTGTGTCACGTTGCAACAGTTTTTTTTTCTCCAAAAATGAAATGATTTTCTTCTTAATTTTTTTTAACTTACTACTCATATGTAAAATTTAAGATGTTATAAAATAGAGATGATTATCAAGCAGTTTGTATCAGCAAATAGTAAAGCAGGAGCTTCTATACAATTAAAATGTTCGATATATTAAGTTACTAAGTATAACTTGGTAAGTTATTTCACCAGCTTATCGGTGTTGGGTGAATCGACTGGGCGACAGAAACCGCGCATATTTTCCTCTCTGGACATACAGCGGAGGTATATAAGGGAGTTTTTATATTTAAATATATTGTTCTGGTTTTTTATTTGAAAGTTTTCCTTGGTGAGGCAATGATGGAACGTAGTGCGGAGTTTCAGTGGTCATTTTAGTATAGTAAGATTACAGAAGTATAGATTTATTACACATAAGTAATTAGTTATAATTGCTAACTAGATTCTTACTTAGTCAATATGAAAATGGTACAATTATTTTTCAGTAATGCATTTTTATAATACTTAAGTGATTCTTTTTTAATAAAATATTGTTTTTTTTTTAGTTTACTACAGTTTAGTTAGATAGCCGCAAGTAAACCGCACTACGTTTCCGTTCAAAGATTTTATCGTTTGTGTCATGAGTAATCCAACTGATTTTCAAAATTCTAAAGTTCATGCATCAAGTGATTGTTTGCTATATCTTATTTGTATCAGTTCCCTATATTATTATAGGGAGTATAATTATTGCAATGAGAAAAAAATACAAGTAATTTTTTGAACATCCTGTATATAAAAATATGAAATTGGCTGGATTACGTCGTTCAAATAACCGGATCCAATGAGTTTATTGATGTGATAACCTTGAATGCGAGTTTTTGGTGGTTTAACTATTTTTTTTTAATTAATTTAATTTTTTTTTATAAAATTTACTAATTGCGTGTGTTACGTTTGCATTTTAAACGATATTGTCAATATATATTTTTAACAGTTAATATTATCCTTAAAATAAAAAATCCTGAAAATTTCTATAAAACTTTTAAACCTACATTTTTTAACTGTAAATTCGCTCATCTGAAACATTTACAATACGTTTTACAAAATCGTTATATTGGATGAAGGTAGTTACTAATTTCTGAATGCAGTGTGGTTAAGATATTTTTAACTTTAATTGAGCGTTTAATGGGCTAATGGTGGGTTTCTCAGTTCTAAATCTCTGCATAAAACATACCATCCATGTTATTATCTTTGACAAAACAGAGATAACGATATGATTAACCGGAGATATCGGTCTCAGAAACTCTCGGTAAATAGACTAGGTAAGGATGATTGCTTTTGGGGATTTAAATGAGTGAACTGGAAAATTAAAAATTAATATAGCCATATTTATAGATTATAAGACTTCTAGGTACAAATAATAACGTTTTTATGCGAATATCTTAAAAAATCTAATATTAAAATTTATTCATTATAATAAAATTTCACTCATTTTAAATGAAGGTAAGTCTTTTCTTGTGTTTTCGCATGGATCGAATTTAATAAATATGATTTTCTGCGTGTTCGCCTGCTTTTGTGCCTTGTCGTGTGTTTTGTTTACCTTTAATTGTTTTATCCAGTTGATTATGATATTTACGTTTTAAAATTATAGATTTTTTCAAAAGAAAAATATTGTAAAAATTTGTGCATCCTGTATATCAAAATTTTATTATTTTCCTATAACTTTAGTTCACATTAATGTAAAGTATTTTTGTTTGAAATGTTTTTTTTAATGTAATTCAGAGTTTTAAAAAATATAATTAATTTGTCAAAATTTTTCAAAGGTCAGTAGTTAATGGGCATTTAACTTTAGGCCCTAGTGTTTAGTTTTAGTTTTTATGTTTTCTGTTTTTAGGCCATTGGACGGTAACACTCCGAAGCATGCGGTAGGCGCTAGCCCAGCCCTGCTTGGGTAACTATTCCCTTTTTATCCTTTTGTTTTGGTCTTGATAAACATTTTTTTTTGTCTCTGCTCAATGTTTGGCCTAGTTGTATTTGTCTATTTAGGATTTTTAATATTATTTTTTTGTTAATTTTTTAATCATCCTGTAGTTTCATTTATATGAATGCGATTTTTTCTTATTGAACATACTAAATATAAGCACATATGGCAAATATAGTGTTTTATTGCAAATGTCTTGTTAGTTTGCTATATTTTTTATTAGATTTTTTTTTAGTAAAAATGCGCTAGAGTTAACAAAATGCTTACAATTCGCCTCATAAGCATTAATATCATTTTTCTAACAAGTCTCCGCAATACATTTATCATAAATAACATTAAGAATTAAGATAAGCTAGATTTTAATTAGAAACTTAGATGTCTAGATATAGACAAACAATATTAGCTGAAATTACATAACTTCTAGTCAGAGAGCTACGATATCTACAGTTTACAGATTGGTATTTGGAATTTTTGTACAGTTCAATCTATCTCCTTTAAAAATAATATTATCTCAAGAATTGCAAAAAAAAATGAGAAAAAAACACTTGTTTTAAACGTAAATCGGTTTTCAAACAGTTGTTCTAAATATAAATTAAATTGTAAACAATTATATTAATGCAACTATATAGTTATGTTAGGGCGTGTGTAAGATGTGGTTGTATTGCAGGCAGGGCAATGAAGAGCAGGTGAAGCCTCGCGTGCTGCGCTTCACATGGAGCATGAAGACCACATCCAGCAGAGACCCCAACGAGATCATGGCTGAGATACGTAAGGTCAGTTATCAACCATAGAACAACAGTGGCTTAAAGTTAATATTGTATACCAGACGATGTGTTTGAGTAGAGGTTTCTACAGCTCATATTACTAACTTTTATAATTAATACATGAAATAAATACTTCATTTCAAATATCTTGGCGGCTCAAGGATATGTGCGCGCTGCGCAGTGCCCTCCCCTGCTTCCAGTTACACACCAACTAACATTGTGTTCTGCGTAGCGATTTGCGCGAAGTTAGGAGCCGCCAAGATATCTTCAAATCCTATATTTATTTTGAAGGCACTTGTGCGATGGATGTGAAATTTGGTACAGCAAATCATACTTCTGTTAGGAAGATAATCCGACACTGCCGGAGTACTGGCGCAACACTAGCCTTACAAAAATGTCGATGTTTATGTCCCCTCACTAATCATTCTGACACTTGACTTGGTAATGAAAGCGCGCCATTCACGACAATAGATTGTAACTAATAATGTCTAAAACTTTTTATTAGTATTATGAATGCGAATTTTCCGATGTATGGATGTTTGTTAGGTCACCAGATTGTCCATACAATCTGGTGACCTAACAAATACAAAGATCCATATCTTGCTAATTGACATAGATTTAGAACATAGTCTGGAAGAACACGCTACTAGGCTAGTCTCCAGTGACAAATAGCGTATAAAGACATTTGGTACTGCACTGGGATGGATTCGTTGAGTCTACGCTCAATCTTCAATAATATAGTGGTATTAGAAGATTGTTTTTTTTTCCTCAGGTGCTAGACGCCAACAACTGTGACTACGAGCAACGCGAGCGGTTCCTGCTGCTGTGTGTGCACGGTGACCCCAACGCTGACTCCCTCGTGCAGTGGGAGATTGAGGTCTGCAAGTTGCCGCGACTCAGCCTCAATGGTGTACGATTCAAGAGAATATCCGGTAAATAATATTCAGTAAAATAGCCGCCAAAATAAGTTTGGTAGATCTTTCTTACTAATATTATAAATGCGAATGTTTAGATTGATGGATGTTTGTTTGAAGGTATCTCCAGAATGGCTGAACGGACTTGGATGAAATTTACTATATGTATAGAATATATTCTGGAAGAATACATACTAATTAAGTTTTGTTTTTAATTCCGCGTGTACAGAGTCGAGGGCGACAGCTAGTATATTAATAAAATTAGTGTGCCTATTTTATCAAAAAAAATCATATTTCGACAACTAGTATTTGCTTTTATTATAATTAAGATCAATAATTTGTAATTTTTGTATGTATGTCTGTTTGTAAGGATGCGTTTGGTCCGGGTAATCTCCGGAACAGATGGACCTATTTTGATGGGACTTAGACTATTTATATATATTTTTTTAATTCTAAGGTTATAAAGTCGCGGGTTAACGCTAATTATAAATAAAATGTAAAATGTTTGTTGTTCAGGTACAAGCATCGGCTTCAAGAACATTGCGTCAAAGATCGCCAACGAGCTGAAGCTGTGACTGCCCGCGCCCGCGCCGCCCGCCTGCCCGGTCAGTGTCAGACACATAACATTACTACGCTTTTATTAGGAAAAAGAGATGGAAAAGAAAGGGAATCTTTTCACTGTATAAACAGATAGGTAAAAATAAGGTGGCCCGAATTCGCCGAAATGGCGAATCTGCCCACCAGCAATTGCAGATTCATTGCCTACCTTTAATCGATGGAAGAGGAGATGTACATAAACAGAATATTTCACCTTCCAGTATCTACAGACAGAGGACTAAAATTATGCCTCTATAAATTGTTACATTCTGAATGTTTACAAGTATCTGTTAGGACATCATTGTCTCTTGCTTATTTGCTATTTCTGCCACATCAGTGCTCGGAGCCCGGCAGCGCGCGGCTCTCCGCCGAGGATATCGTGTCAGTGGCCAACGGCGGCGCGGTCACGCCCTCCGGCGCTCTGCGGCACTACCTCGCCCCGCCCCCACCGCCGGCCACGCCCCCCGCCGCGCTCGCCCCGCCCCTCTCGCTCAGCGCGCGCTCGCTGCGACACGCCCCCTGCGACTGTCTGCCGCAACATCCCATACCGCCGCCGGAACTCTTCCACTTTTGATTACATTCATACACTCATACATACAACATACATACATACATATACATACTTTGTTGGAAATATGCTTACAAGTAATGAAAGCAATAGTTTTTGTTGTCAAATGATAATTACTTTTGCACTACTTAACGCCTGCAATATTATAATAGCAAAGTTTAAACATATTACCAACAAAATATTGAATATAATTACACTTTGGAACAAACGAAATTTAAATTAAATGTCTTCGTTTAATTTGTAGTTTCAAAATGTAATGACATTTTAAATAATTTAGAATAATGTGTACACATTTCTGCTACTTTTTTTTTTAATATGTTGAAGTAAACAAAGATAATTTATTGCAATAATTGATGATTGTGATAATTTAGAAAAATCAGTGAAACAAAGAAAAATTATTTTAAAAATCCCATAATTTTTTATGAATAATTTAATTTTAATGCATTCACATTTTTTTTTTGTAAAATAAATTTTTAATATTTATTAGAAATTAATTTATTGATAAAATTATGATTTTAATTCTGTGATTGTTATTACAGCAAAGGCTGAATCTGAATTCTTTTTAATACATTAAAAAAAAAAAACTTTCCCTGTTTTTAGTAAAAAAAATAATAGTATTGTAATACGTCCACTACGATTAGTACATTTTAAATGTATAAATAAACAGCCTTTGCTGTAAAAATTGCTATTTTTGATTGTTTTTTTTTTTTGACATTTTAATGCATTTCACAATTTCGAATAACCTCAAACTTATGGCGGGAAATTCAACGGCGAAAAAAAAAAGATGGTGGATTTTATTCGCGGGCTTTTAATAATCACAATATAGAATATCTTGTATTATTTAATAAAATAAACAATTTAAAGTTCTTAGTTATATTGTAAATACGTTTTTCGCAAGGTCAATAGTGTTATCAGACTCTTACTGAAATCTCCCGATATGGTTTGTAGGGGGGAGATTTTATAATATTAAATCATTTTACAATTATTTTTTGTTATAACTAAGTCTTAAGCGTTTCGGGAATGTGCCAACCGGAGGTGTTACATCTAAATTTTTTTGCTTGAATATCTTTGAAAGTTGTTAAATTATTGAATGCTCTCAACGCGCCTAGTTTTGTAAAATACGCTGCAATTTACGGTTCGAGTATTTTTTAATTCTTTTTTTTATTGTAGATAAGTCGCGTTTAATGTTGCCAGTGAAAAATAATCTTTTGCAACGATTGGTTTAAAACGTGAATAAAAGATGTTTGTAGCTGGCAACATCGCGTGTATCGTGCTATCGCTTCGTTTCCATTACACTATATCGTGTGTCGTATAAAAATGTACAAAATGAGTTTGCGCTCAAGTTAAAATTTAGCTTAGTGTTAATTATTCTTTCCAGCTCTAATGACAAATATAAATACAGAATAATTGCTATAATATTGCTATAAATTACATTTTTATGTTGGTACTTCGCCGCTAGTGTGCGGTGTTGCCATAACTAATTTGGTAGTAATTACGTTATCATTTTATTGTAAATCAACGAATTATTTAAAACAAAACAAACTTTTTATTATACTTTAATGTAATATGCAATAATCAGCGCCGGAAATAATAATGCAATTGTTTAAATGTATCTTCCAGACATAGATATAAAACCTATAGAATAACCTAATAATTAGGCTTGTGCCTTTGTAATTACAAAACCTAGGCACAATATTTAGGCGAAAAAAGGCCTTTGGAAGCCTTTTTTGAAGTAAATTCTCTTAGTGTTGCCATTATCAATACAAAATGATATTTAAAAAATCGACTCTCAGTTTTCTCAGACGTTATATTCATTTAGGTTTCAAAACTTCATCTATAGGTTATATATCTATGTTAATAGCATTATTTAAAACGTTTTTATTTGAAATGATAATGGACTGACAAGGCTATGTGAATAAGTGGGCATAAGTCGGCTCACTAGCGCCCCCCTCTTTGTACTGTAGCTGTCATGTCATTCTTGTCCTTTATGTCATTTTCTATGTGTACGTATGTTTTATATATATTCTGACAGAACCAAACGAGATAGAACCATCTCTCAGTTCAGATATCCTTGTTTTAGTCAAACGTAATACTATCAAATTCGGAATGTCAAAACTGCTGCAATATGTCTTGTTGAATGTGTGGATGTCAAAGTGGTCGTGTACGCGATCGCCTGCGGTTGTATCTTTCTAATTATAAGGCTGAATTAGAAAGTGTCAAAAAATATTGTTCTCTTACTAATTATGAGTTTAAACACTAACTGCCGTACTCGGTTATTTAGTGTTCATTGAGTGCCTTAGTGGAATTTACACTAAGAGAGGCCCTAAGTGAGCATTGGATAACTGAGTTAGGCTATAAATGCATTATAGGGTACACACTTGAGAAATTTTTAATATAAGTGTAATTGTGATCAAAGTAATATGGACTTTGTAGTATAGCAATAACGTTTATTATTGTATGTACACGTTTCTAAATGTTTCTTTGTCAGCCTTTGATTTTATTAACAGGCGATTATTTTTTTTCTTGGTTTTGTGTGACGCTTTCCTTTGTCTTGTGTGAGCTCCGCAAACTTGTAGGTATAATATATATATATAAATTAGTATGTATGTGTGTTTGTCGTGAGCCGTGCGGCGATCGCGTCTGTTTTCTATAATCTAATTAAGAGTAGTGTTACACTTTTACAAGAAATCAAAATCTACCCTCTCTGCGCGGCGCGGCGACAGATGCAATCAACGACACGACACAATTCTAATTCGTTTTATACTCTATGAATTATTTTTAATCTATGAACGTTGACAGCTGTCAGATGCCATAAATGTCAACGTGACAGTTGTGTGTCGCCGCGCCGGGCGCGTAATGTTATCGTAATGTAGTTAAATATATATAAATATATATATTTATATGTATGAGCTTTGTTTATTATTCATTTTAGTGTTGACCGTTGCCTGTGAGGTTGACGCGAGGTGCGGCGTTTTGTGAGATATTCAACTGGAAATAAATTTTAATTTTAATTCCGATTTTATTTGTTTTATTTCTATTATTAATGCTTTGAATTTAAATCCTATATCATACAAGTTCTTCATCAAAAAAAGACAAGGAATAAAAATAAATAGCAAGATTAAATAGAAGTTTTTTATTCAATAAAAAAAACAAACTTTACAATCAGTCAGAAAAAATAAAATGGCTAGTCTTATTGTGGGTTTATACTACCGAAGCATATATATTGTGATCTCTGTTCTTTTCAAAGATAATGAAAGGGATGACAATATTTTGTTTTAATGACTCGACATTTACCCAACGATAAGTAACATGTAGCGACATCTATATTTAGTTTATATAAAAAGTTAAAACTCAATTGTAAAAGATAACAACTTATATAAATTATTATTAAAAATATGACTAAGTTATTTATCAAGAATATAACAATTTAAAGCTAAATTAAAAGTTATTGAAACTATAAATATTTTATACAAATATAATCAAACTTGGATAAGCGAGAGTTATTTTCCAGTCCCGACGGACGACCTCTATAAATGAGAAACTCGGTTAAGAGAGAAACCTCTGTAAGAGAGAAAAATATCCCGTTCTCTTGGACTCTCGCTTATCCAGGATTGATTGAATGTCTTTATAATTGACAAATTAATAGTAGCAATCTATAAACAACTTAATTGTTTACAATTTGTACAAATTTTACAAATAATTATTATAACATAAATAATAAAATTTAAAATTTATTTGTCAGTCTCTTTGTTTATCGGTCTTCCATGTAAATCGATTTCGATACTTGGAATTAGCGGAGGTTTGAATCCATATTCTATCCTAAGATTGGTTACTTTTTGTTGTCTTTGAAATCTATTTGATTTAACAGAACTGTAACTGTTATTTTCCCAATAATTATTATATTTTTGTAATGGCGGAGGTCCGTAGTATAAATTTTGATTATTTGTTAAATATTTATTATATATTTGATTGTTTTTAGCTTGATTAGGTTTTATATTTGTGTATTTATATGTAGAAGCATACAGGCTACCCCATTGTGTTGTTTGAATCGGTACTGTGTAAGTAAACTGCTCTTGATTGTCTTTTATATATTCTTGAAGTTGATTGTAATAAGTTTTTTCTGGTCTATTTTGTTTAACATTTTGAGATTCGTTTTGCAAATATTGTGGCAGATTTTGAGAATCTTCTGCTTTAGAATTATCTACAGAGTAAGTTTGAAAAAGAAAAGGCATATTGTTTTCTGTTCTCTTCTCGACATTGTAAGGATTTTCGATGGCATAAGGTCTGTCGATATATTTAGTAACAATTTTTGGTTTTTCTACAAACTTTTCGACGACTTTCTCCACAGGGTAAGGTACTTTTTTCTCGACAATTCTGTCAACAGGGTAATGTTTAATAATATGGACAGGTATAGGTACTGGTACGTTTATGTGTACCGGTTTTTCGATAATTTTCTCAACTGGTACGTGGACCGTTTTTTCATACGGTACAGGATACAATACTTTCTTCTCAACGGGATAAGGGACACGGATTTCTTTTTCAACAATCTTCTCAACTGGTTTTTCCACGGGTACTGGATAAGGTCTTTCTACTGGAATTGGTACTATAACTGTTTTTTCTACTGGAACTTGTACTTTAACTGGTACAGCGACAGGAGTTGGTACAGGGACATTTCTTATAACTTCTTTCTCGACTACCTTTTCAACTGGGTATGGGACATGAACTGGTCTATCTACGTATACTTGTTGCTCCACTGGGTAAGGTACTTTAATTGGTACGGGATAGGGTTGTGGTACTTGTACCGGATATGGTTTATCGACATATTTCGTGACTTCAATAGGTTTTTCAACAATTTTCTCGTATGGTACTGGTATAAGGACTGGTCTATCTGGTACATGGTTTGTTTTTTCGGAATTCGGTATTTGTTTTTCTATATACCGATCTCTGTATTGTAGTACAGGTATTTCTTTTTCTACTATTATTGGTTGAATAACTTTACGATTGTTTCGTTTTCCAAATATATTTTCATTATTAGTGTTATTTTGTTGGTTACCTTTGTAATCGTTGTATTCGAATGTTATTTGATTTTTTATACTTTCGTTAGATTCTAATTCCTCATTTCTTTTTATTTTATTACCAGAATTATGTTCACTGTATGTTTCAATATTTTTCTTACCATATTCATGGGAGACATCTTGAATATTTTGTTCATCATTTCTTTGATTTCCAAATGCATTGTATACATTCTCTTCATTTATTGGAGAGTTACTTCTTCCTTCTTCTAAATATTGATGAACTTCTATTTCATTGATATGGGTTATGTCTAAGGGAATAGATTCTTGTATTTCAACAATTGTTCTTCCTTTGGTCGGTATTTTGACTTTATCTTCAACAAATTCACTATCTGAAGCTTCGTGATCCTCTATTGTATTAATTATATCGGTATTATTAGAATTTAATAATCTCAAAGCTACTGTTATTGGTGCTAAATATTTCTGTCCAATTGGTCTTGGGGTTACATAAACTGTTTCTTCATTAAAATAATGAGGTAAATGAGCGTTTTTACTTGCATTTTTCTTTATACTAGCAATTACGTAGCCATTTTGAATAAATGGTGTCATTGTTGACACTAAAGTGTCTAATATTTCTTCTTTATAATCATCTTCTTTTGAATCTTGTACAACTATAGGTGATGTAAATTTATTTTCATAGTTATTTTGACGTATTGCGTTGGAATTTGGTACAGCTGTGTTTTCTATGTTACGTATTTTTGCTTTTAATGTTATTTGATTTTGACTATTACGAGATTCTACAGTTTTTGAATTATACGGTTGAATATATTCATCTAAATCGTATACTTGTTTTTCAGCTGAATGATTGATTGTTATCAAATCATCGTTACTTATCAAATCTTGTGTTGAAGCTACAAGTTTTGATATACCTTCTTGGTCTTCGTTATAATTTCTTTTTGGACTTATTTCAGTTGAATAATAATAATATCCTTCATTATTCGTATTCGATCTTGTTTCGATTTTAAAATTTGCTGCTCCTTTGAATAAAGGTTCTTTTGTTTCGAAATTTTCGTTTATATTTTCATATGTCGTTTTATCTTCTAATATTGATTGTTCTTTGTTAATATCATCGTTTGCGCAATTGTGATCTTTAAACACTTGTACAATTGGTGTTATTATTGCATTATTTTGATTGTCATTTTCTTTATATGCTGTGTTGTGATTGTTCGTTAGATTATTTTGTGTTGTGTGATCTGTTTGTATGTTATATCCAGTTTGTGTGTATGAGTTTGTTGGTTCATTTGTATATTGTATAGAGTTATCTGCTACATGTTCTTGTGTTTGTGAGGTGACAGGGAATTGGTGAAGAAGAAATATATCTAACGGTGCCTGACTGCTGACATCTTGAATTATTTGCGTATGATTTTGATTTTCTGGATTCTGATATATTTGATATGGTATCTGAAATAGAGATAAAAGTTTTATTATTCAAACTTTCGTGAGACATTATACTAAACTGATATATAAACACGGCTAAACACTCGCGTATATTCGTCCGGTGGCGGCACCGACTAGTTTCGAGCCCATCGGAGGGGGGGGGGGGGGAGAGATATGAGCGACGGGCCGCGTCCGCGAAATAATACCAGTGCCACTCATCCTGATGAAGGGCCCCCGATGGGCTCGAAACTAGTCGGTGCCGCCACCGGACGTATATACGTGAGTGTTTAGCCGTGTTTATATATCAGTTTAAAAGTTTTATGTTAAAAAAGAAATAAACTTTCTACAGATATAAAAAGTAGATTTATATGATAACTAGCTGTCGCCCGTAACTCCGGCCGTACGGTATTAAAAAAGCATTATTTATTTTATTTTTATTTTGTTTGTTTTTTTGTAAAATATTAGCAGATTTTTTTGGAAATTTACTAATATTTCTTTTACCATTCCAACTAAGCTCTAGGCTTTTGCTAGGATATGGTTTACGACAATAGTCGAATGGCGGGATTCGAACCCGCGACCTCGTCATCGGAAATCCGTATCCTTAACCATTAGGCTATTGACGAAATTAAAAAGCATTAAATAGCCTATGTGTTCTTCCAGACATTGTTCTATATGTATGACAAATGTCAACCTTCTAACAAACATCCATACATCCAAACATTCGCATTTATAATATTACTTTGTTAGAGAAAACTGGAGTCATATTTTGTGGGGTGGTGGTGACTTACAGTATTATAGTTCAGACCAGTAGCATCGACCAATGGACCGGTATTTTGTAAACCACCGATATCAGCATACTGGATTTGTGGACCAGTCTGGGGAAAAAATAAATTTTATAAAATTTATTAAACTTAACATAACGATTGGATTTAATTAGATATACCTAGATTTTAAAGGTATTTGTGATAGAAATTAAATTTTAAAATATAATATACAGGGTGTCCCAAAAGGTTACGTACATAGGAAGGGGGATGATACGGGTGGTCACAAGGGTCACCAGAAAAATAAAATAAAAATTCCCCGCTGGGTATTAAAAAAAATAAATGGCATTTTTTTTTTTTTATAATAATACCCAGGCAAAATAGCGACAAGTTAAAAACGACTTCAAAAACAAAAGTAACACTTCTAAGTTAACATTATAAAAAGTTTTTAACGTGTTATAGATTTTAATATAACTCTGTTAGATTTAACAAGTAATTTCTTTGGCGAATGCAAAATTGTCATTACTTTCTTCAGCTACCTTCACATGTATTTGTTATACTTTCTTTAAATATCTTGTACTTTCCTAACCGTGGATTTCTGACACCATAATAAATATATAACATATTGTTATCTCTATTTTGTTGACAATGTTTTATACATTTAGGTATCAGAAACCTACGGTTAAAAATAAATATAAAAATTAGCGTCTCCGTACGGAATTTAAAAAAAACATAATTAGTAACCTATGTTTATTCAGACTACGTTCTATATGTAAGCCAAAATATAGAGATCAGTTCAGCCGTCTTGGAGATAGGTTCAAATATTTATCCATCCATCTAAACATTCCCATTTATAATATTAGTAAAATACCTGTACAAGGAAGTGATCTATTGGCAGTTGTGCGTTCACCGGTGTCAGCTGCCAGCCCCACTCGAACTGTGTACCTCCTTGCTGCACCTTCTGATTCTGTAAGACAATAAGTTTACTATTAAATTACATTAAATATCACTTAGTGTAGTCGTTAATTTCGCAGTAATCAAAATAAATCCACAAGGAATGATAAGGACATTAATATAATAAAAGAAAACGAGGTAGACAAAGCAAAAGACCGACCTCTAGGAAGGTTAAAATAGAATTGAAGAATCTGGAAGAAGCTTTAGTCTACACGGAAATTAGGAGATAATAGGACATACTAGTAGGAACATCTCGATCTTAAAATCAAACTATTAAGGCAATAAACATGCCTACTCTAGACAAACTTTAACCTGTCGCTAATTCGAGTAAAATGATTCTTGTTCATGTAATAAAAACATTAAAAAATGTTAAGTAAAAAAAGTGTAAAAGACTCGTCGTCCGCGACTCCGTCCGCGTGACATTAAAAAAAACATGATTAGTGACCTATGTGTACTTTTAAGAACGCATCGGGAATATATATTAGGTGTCTCCCGCGACATGACTAGTCTATGTGTTCTTCCAGGCTTTGTTCTACATCTATGCCAAATTTCTGCAAGATCCATGTAGCTGTGACGGGAGATTATAACATCCATCCATCCGTACAAACATTTATTATATTATTAAGGTTACATAAACATCAACGTTCTACAATTAACCTAATTTAATTGAATTATAAAATAAAAAACCGTATTACAAAATGCCAATTACGTTTCGATTTGTGTCATTTGATATTAAAAGACGCGGATTGGAATCTACCAATTCTTATCTTTTAGAAAGTGTAAGCGGAATTGAGATTAATAGTCATTTAAACTGCAACGTTCCGATAATGGACAAACGGACAAAATACAAAACAAGTTCACAACTTTCAAAAAACAAAAAAGTTTTCTTTTTTTCTTCCTTTTTGTCCTTAAAATAAACTTTTTAATTCATTTATCAAAGACGATTTCATTGACAGTCGAAAGCCATCAGGAGCGTCGGTGGCTCAGTCAAGCACTTGACTTGTAATCTGCAGGTCCTGGGCTCGAATCCCGCCATGTACCAATATGTTTTTCGATTTACGATTTACATATGTACATTTATCCGACGTTCTTACGGTGAAGGAAAACATCGTGATGTAACCTGCACATATCTGAGAAGAAATTCAAAGATACGTGTGAAGTCAACCAACCCGCACTTGGCCAGCTTTAGGCTCCGAGCCCCTCGGTAGGGACGTATAGTGAGCTGATGATGATGAAGAAAGCCATCTGTCAACCGCAACTTTGTCCTAACGAAATAAAATAAAAAAGCTTAATTAGTAGCCTATGTGTTCTTCCAGACTTTGTTCTACATCATTCATCGAGATTTGTTAAGCCATTCTGGAGTTACCTTTAAACATCCATCGCATTTATAATATTAGTAAGAGTAATAAGTGACGTAATTTTTATTCCAATGACCGGATTTCGTGTTTACATCACGCCGTAATTAATTTGATAAAAACGATAATTGGTATTACGTTATATTAATTATAGAACCGTTCCAAATTTTATATATACAAAGAAATCGGAATTTTAGAATGGAGTGTCTTTAATTTTTTAGTAGAAGTAGAGATATTTATTAGTATACAACCTTTTGCACAAGACTTCGTTCATGCATTATTAAATAAATGTGTCTAATTTATTTGATACTATGTTTTATATCCGTGCCAAATTTCAATAGATGTTTCGAATAATTTGCGGAGAGTAAATATGTGAATTCAACGTATCCAACGGGAACCGTATCAACGAGATCTTAGGTAGAATGTTTTCTTCCAGACTATGTTCTACATCTGTGCTAAATTTCACCAAGATCTGGTAAGCCGTTCTGGAGATACTTTCTAACATACATACATCTAAACGTTCGTTTTTATAATATTAGCAATGCTAGCTGTCGTTCGCGACTCTATCGGCGCGGAATTTTAAAAAAATCTTAAAAGTAGCCTGTGTTATTCGAGATTATTACTTAGGGAGTTCTAATATCTGACCTAAAGATCCGTTGTGTTGTTCTGTAGATACCTTCTAACATACATTCTTATAAACAATTTAAGTATGTAATAATTATCAGAAAATCTACAAACATGCAAGATTATGCTGCAAACATAATTAAGACATAAACAAAGTGATCCTATAAGGGTTCCGTTTTTTTTCCTATGAGGTACGAAACCCTAAAAAAAAACCTTATACTTATGACTAGCTCAAACGAAGCCACGGCTTATCGCTAGTATCAAATCAAGTAATCTATATCAGTTTTTCAAATAAAGACATAAAATTCATACAACTTTCATCAGACCATTCCCTACGAGCACTTTTACTTGCACTTCCGAAGTTTTCATAACGTATACGGTAACCAATCTAATGGGCAAGTAACTGAGATGTCTTCCGTGATTCAGACAGACTGTCCAATATCTTACTAATATTATAAATGCGAATGTATAGATGGATGTTTGTTAGAAGGTATCTACAGAACGGATGCATGGATCTTGCTGGAATTTGGCATAGATGTAGAACATAGTTTGGAAGAAGACATAAGTTACAAATTTTTTATTTATTAATAACTTAACTAAAATTATTTATTTTCTTCATTTAAAATGCGATCAAAGTACGTAACTTAATACTAAGTTGATGTTTATTAAAATTAGAAAGGGCTTATTTACTGAAAGAAGTTCACAAAGGCTTAATAAATAAGCTAAGCTAACCTAAGCATAAACAAGTTTGTGCAATACACTATCGTTGTCAAGGCTTTATGTGTTTCCGGTGGTGAAAGGTAAAGTTCTATTTCCTGTTAGTAAATAACCGTGGGCTTACACTACCAAAATACAAAACATGAACAAAAGAACAGGAATGAAGATATCGTATCGTTAAAAACTTTAACCTCTTTAAAATCGGTCAAAAAAAAGTTTTTTTATATCATAAGATGGCAAAAGAGCTGCCACCTGAAATCGCTGAAATAGCGAAGTGACCGTTGCCCATAGACATACGCAATTGCATATGCGTTGCCTACCTTTAATCGACGGATTTTCCCTTCCCATGCCCATCCCCTCATACGGAAAATCCACTTCTACTTCCCATCTTTTACTTATATTATAAGAAAAAGGATTGGAAGGGAAAGAGGATTAAAATTAGGTTCCGGGACGCACACTTATCTGACTGTACTTGGAATTGCTTCCACTTGACGCGTGTCTTCTGTGTAGTCGTGGTATTTCACCGGGCGAGCCGGGACAATTCGTGCGAAGATGTTAAAGCGGGCTCTACCACTGTTAAACGTCTACTTTACGCCTTCTATAAGATGGTATTTCATTGTAACAATAGGAGTATTGTTTTACACTACTGAGGTTTATGTAATAAATATTCATATCAAAATGGAGCAATAACACAGAGTATCAATTAAATCGGTAGAACAATACATGAAATAAAATCGAGGGTCTATTGTCGTACTGCGCGTAGTGAAAGTGTACTTTTGTTTCCTCTTGTTAATAGAATCAGTATGTTGTTTGGTCCAAGTTAAAAGCGAAAATATTAATTTTATAATTCATACAATAATAGAGATTTTAAATCTTAGTATAATTGTATTTATCATAGATTTCTGAGACCAAAATCTTCGTTTAAAACATATTATTGTCGCTGTTTTGACAATATAAGGACATAGATAATGGATACCGTACCGACTTTACTATTCATTTCAACATGAAACTATTACAAATCTATATCTCTATACTAATATTATAAGAGGACAGATTTTTATATCTGTATGCAACGGATAAACTCAAAACCAACTGGACCAATGTCAATAATTCTTTGCCACTAAAAAGCTATATTATAATTCATAAACTAGCTATATTTATAGCAAGATATTTTTTTTTACTCCTGTGACTAATTAACGGGCAAAAGTTACACTACTCTTTCCAATGCTGTTGTAGATTAAAACCTATTCCGAACAAATGTGTCAAAAAAGAAGTGACGTTTTTAGAGTTTAAGAAAAGTAAGAACGCATGTCAAAAATAATAGTTTTATTGCCAAGATAGGGGCTAACGCAATTACACTTTTCATGACATTTATACATTCTATTAAAAAAAACATAGAAACTGGCCACAAATATTAAAAAAAACCGCTTTCGCTTTTTAATTGTGACGTCATTCAACCGTTGACGCATGTCGTGTTCTCAATTTGAAAATATTAACTGCATCAATTTGATTAATTATTGTTTTTTTTTCTTTTATTTGTACAGAATTATGTAACAGTATTGTGTCTCTATTTTGTTAAAGAGAATGAAAGAGATAACAATATGTAATACGAATTTCCCAGCAGTGAAACATTGTAAACATAATCAATGGATACTAAATTTAGTTTTAAATCGAGTCAAGATTATTTCGCTGCGTTTCGGTAAATATCCTCAACAACTATCTATACATATAAATAAAATTGTAGTGTCTGTATGTAATAACGAAAAAAAAACATATTTCCTACGCATAGTGTATTTGCTAAGGAAATCAATTCTTATAATCTTACTAATATTATAAATATGTATGGATGTATGGATGGATGTTACTTTGAAAGTATCTCCAAAACGGCTAAACAGATGTCTACTGTACTATAAGAACACATAGGCTGCTAATTATGTTTTTTTTAATTTCGCGGTAAATTATAGATAGATTTAATTTGTATTTTGCGTTTACAAAGTCGCGAATGATCGCCATTTTTAATATAAATGTTTCATATCATTTGTAGAACGTCTAGCAATCTAGATATCTGTAAACAACCTAGAAGCTAGACCTACAACTTTCACTTAAGCCCATTAGTTTCCGTATTTACTATCATTGGATTCAAACATGACACTACACACCTTAAACCTAGCTTTGGAAGGTATATAACTATAGTATAAAAGCTAAGTACATAAGTTATTTATTAAAACTTACCGCGTATGTATACTGCGACCAGGTTCGTGTGGTAACGCAAAAGACGATCAGAACTCTCAACCACTGAAAATTGAAAGAGATTTTATAACAGTGTTGCTATTTAATAAATAAACTATAGTTAATTAAACATATTGACAGTCTTTATTGAACTGTTGAAGTGTAAGTGTAGGGTACGGATTTCCGATCACGAGATCGGGGGTTTGAATCCATTCGACTATTGTCGTAAACCATATCCTAGCACAAGCCTAGAGCTGAGGAACGATTAAAGAAATATAAGTAGTAAATTTACTAAAAAAAACTGTATAGATTTAACTGAATGGTTCTATCGTTATTTAAAAATTTGCAGTTTTAACAGAATGTTTGTTGTGGGCTTTATTTATTAGCTATATTATCAAATTATTTTTAGGGTTCCGTACCTCATAGGAAAAAAACGGAACCCTTAGAGCATCACTTTGTTGCCCGTCCGTCTGTCTGTCAAGACCGTTTTTTTAACACGTTGACGGACAGTAGGAACAAGCGAAGTTCGAAAATTGACACTATATGTTTTTGTGATTTTTAGAATGTTAGAAGCATAATTTTACTCTTTCTGCTTAAATAAACTTAATTTTGATTAATTTAGTACCTTTAATTAGGTTGCGGCTATAACCGTCATGGCGCCAGCGGACTCTATACACTAAGTGATAGGACGATATATAACAGGTGAAATATGAACTTCAACCTAAAAAGATGTTTTCAAAACACGACACTATGCTTCTACGTATACGCCAGTAAGTGCACATTTGTGCTGCTATAGCCGTAGTGTCTAAAAACGACCGTTTCGTTTTGGACGGCTATAGCAGTCATGCCACATTGTGAACTTCGCTTTGACGGCTATAGCCGCAATTGTCCGTCAACGTGTTTAGATATTTACTGATTTTAATTTTTTTTATATTTCCTTATCTTTATATGATAAAAATTTCGTGTCATAATGTATGTTCGCGATAAACTCCTAAACTACTGGACTAATACTTATCAAATTTTCTAAGTATTTGTAATTTAGTCCAAGTTGGGATATAGGATGGTTTTTGTTTTATTTTACTTTTAATTCTAAAGACGTATAGATATTAATTCATACTTATGTACAATTTAATTGACCCGCTTTCCCTCTGCCCACGTTTGCTTTTAATCAGTAGTTAAGTTCTTATCTTAGGGATTTGACTTTCTCGATTTCTAAATAATTAATAAATAAATAATGATACTTTGCGGGTTACTATAACAAAAGTTATTTGATTTTTTCGACGAAATGCTTTCGCTTTGAAGCGATTCCATAACGAACTTTAATAAAGTTTAATAAACTTTCGAAAAGTCACGTGATTGTCGCGCCTCAGTTCTAAACATTTTTGAAGTTCGCTATGGAATGGATTCGAAGCGAATGCACTTGAAGTTAACCAAATTGTATAATCTTTTAAACAACTAGTTAAAAGTATCTTCTTATCAATTGTCGCTTTTTTCTTAAACGACTTTTAAAAGGAGGTTCTTTCATTCATCTGTATGTTTTTATTATATCGTAACTACGATCCTGGTTGTCCGATTTTCATAATTCTTCGTTTATTCCAAAGGTTACGAGGTACTATTTATTTAATTATCCATTTCATTGTTACTTTTGCGTTCAAAGTTTTTGCATAAGTTTTTAAATAATATAACTTACCATGGCTTAGACTAGACTTGTCTCGAGAGAAGTCCAAGAAATTGGTTTCGAATTCCACGTCAAACAACTGTAAAGAAAACATAGAATTTAAACATTTATCGTACTAATATTATAAATACGAATGTTTAGATGGATGAATAAATGTTTCTTAGAACGTATCTCTAAAACGGCTGCATGAAATTTGGCATAGATAAAGAACATAGTCTGGAAGAACACATAGGCTACTAAGTTTTTTTAATAAAAAATAGAGATATGACTACGCATCTATGAAACATAGACATAGATGACTATGGGTAGAAGTCACTTACCTCTTTACTCTTTATAATTTGATTTTTTTTTATATAAAACGTGTACTTTTGATGGTACTTGATTTCTTGCAGACGCTACATTAGTTATGACATTTTATAATTGATGGTGTTATATGTGCAACATAATTCCAACATAACACAACAGTATAGCACTATTAGTTAATAGAGCGGACGTGTTTAACTCGTATGACACAAATCATAGACCATGTCTAAATGTTTCTTAGTCTTTTATTACTTCGCCCATTTATATTTTGTAACGCATATGTACATAAATGCTTTTATTGCTTTATTTGTAGTTGTAATAAAGCTTTTGACCGCGACTTTGTCTGCGTAGAAATTTACATGTTCTAGAGTATGTTATATATATGTGCCGAATTTCAATAAGATATTTTAAATCGTTGCGTTAATCTAGTCATATGTGAATTAAAAGGTAGCCTATATTATATACTATGTTCTTTATACCAAATTACATCGTGATCTGCAGATCTGGAGATTTTTTTTTCAGAGGGGAATGCATACTCCGCGCCCCTGGGGGGGTGGACGCGGTAGTTATGTGGGATTCTCTTCCGGATGGGAAGCGTACCCACTAAACCTCTCTGTTCCTCCAACGCATAGGGACGGGACCACGGGCACGATTCCGCTCACCGCGACCCCTGCGTCAGTTGTCAAGGCAGCTCCTTCTTTGAGATCTGGAGATACGTTCTGACAAACATCCATTTAACATTCGCATTTATATAAGTAAGTATTTAGGGACATTTGGTATATTTCAATCATTCGCACAAATGACTGACCGTAGTTATAGAAAAGTGTTAATAGATTTATCGACGTATAAAATCAATCATAGTTGTCAGACGGTGTATCTTTTTTTTTGTCACAGACCACTACCGGAGTTTTATGATATGTTTACATGAAATATTAGATTCGGTACAGACGGGCGACCGACGTTCGAACGCGGAGCATACTAATGGCCGGTGGCGACTACAGTAACAAAATGTATGAAGAATCGTGTTAATTGCTTATCGCTGTCCACCGATGTGGTCGGTAGTCCGTCTGCGGCGAGCCTTGAGCGAATAGTTTCGCTTTCAACAATGTGTAATGTATTATTGATAGTTTGTCAATATAAATCAAATATATACAAAATGTCCGTTTTGATTGGTCGCAGCGTGAAACTGAATGTCACTGACCGTTCGTGAATTTCACCAGTTTGTAATTTGACTGGATATATAGAAAAAAATGCGATATAAATGAATTAGTTTCATAAAAATGTGTTGCGACAAATTTTGCAACATTATAGTGATTTTAATGACTTAATTACACCTTTTTTATTAGGATATTAAGAAATCTAGGCAATGTATTTGCGTAGAGTAATTTTCTGCGATGTAAAATGTAAACGAGGAAAGAAAAAAATTCTTGTCGTTATGTATTGAGACATTTTTTAACTTGTGCTTTTAAAGTTTCCAATTGAAAATATCTTGAATATACTAAGTAAAACATCACACGTTCAGTCAACTGAACTGTAGGACTGTTTAGTTCAAACTGATAGGTTTAAAGGCGGAAGTCAAATAAAGTTGAAACTACGACCTTATGTTTTTAGATCGTATAAAACTTTTGATGTCTTTCTGATCCAGATTTTACATTTATCAAGTTACACAACCGAATACAAAGATGGCGGAAACAAAAGCGATGTCGCACTTCCTTAAAAACCGCCATTGCATGTCTAGTCAAGGATGTTTTTTTTACCTATCCATTTGGATGAAATGTCTTTTAATACATTGCAAATAGGTCGAAAACTCGTGTACCGTGTTTGATATACGATAAGCGGGAAGCAAATTTTATTCTTTGACTGTAATACGGCGATATTGGCGGGAATGAGATTACTACAGATTATGTAATGTCAGACTGTTGTCAGTGTTTTACGCATCGTTGACAATGAGGTTTGGGGAAGTATATACTGTATAACGAGATAATTAGAAGGGTAATCTGTTGTAATTGTGTAAACATAATGTGTAATGGTTTTATGTATGTGAGTACATCATGTCATACATACGAGAGAGAGTTTACGTATAGGTAAAAGATGGAAGGAATGAAGAGGATATTACGCGTCTATGGTCGGCGCCGAACACACGGTCCGCAACGGACTTTAGTTTGCTTTGTATGATTGTAAAAAGCGCTGCGTTCGTCATCTACATCGCCCGCATCGCCTCAGAACAAAGCAAATCCGTTTAATCCGTGCGTCCGGTGCGTCCGGAACAAGCCAATGGACGCGTACCTTTACAGTTCTGTTTGAACCATACCGTCATTTGTGCTACTGTGACGTAATATCACGTCACATTGTCGTCACGCGATGATCGCGTTAAACTGTGCAAATTGCGTCGTGCTAGATGGCAGCCATTAGCGACACATATTGTACGAGGAACTTACTTCCCGATTTTGCGGTTTTTCTGCCACACTCGGAAATGTTTGTATTTTAAGTATTTCCTTAGTTTTCTTATACATTATTATATATTATTATTATATCTACACTTAAGGGATGGATGGATGTTTGTTGCAAGGCTATATAATCTCCGGAATGGCTCAAAGGATCTTAATAAAATTTGGCACAGATGTGGAACATATTTTGACGGAACACATAGGCTAGATTATAACGTTTTTTTTTTTAATTCCGCGCGGACTACAAATAGTTTTGATATAATTGATGACTTGACTATATGAAAGGTCACAAATATTTGTGGTAGGGCCACAGCAAAGGAATAAAAAAAATCACCGCAGCTTGAAATCATGGAACCGAAGTTAGCGATGATACCTAATATTGAGTGCTTAAACTTTGGTAAGCAAACTTTTAACCGCAACTCCGTACGCTCGGAACTAAAAAAAAATAAATAGTAGCCCGTGTTCTTCCAGACTATATTCTACATGTATGCCGATTTTCAGCGAGATTTTTTTTGCCCAAATATATAATTTCAATAATTTTATAATTAAATAAAAATATGGTACTCACTTTAAAAATAGATAGTTTATCTTCACTACAACACAAATAATTAAGTTTTATTTTTTTAATCTGTTTAATTCTGTCACAGATTAAAAACACCCATCATTTGTTATTATTTTTAAATTGCCAGTACGTTCGGTGTATTCGCGCGTATACAAGTAACTGACGCGCAAACACATCGTGTCTACAACTTCCCTTTCCCAATACAGGTGTAGTGATAGTATTTTTTTTTATTAATAGACAATGTAATAATTTACCGATAATACTTGCGTAATAAATTATGTAATTTTTAATCTACGCATCTTTTTTGGCGGCTTTCAACGAATGTGACGTGTCGTTTGTTTTTGTTGGAGATCATCTTTTGTTTTTTTTTTAATTCAAAAGTTAAAAGTATTTTGTTTTTAGGTTGGCTGAATGTGCACTGTCAAATCAAAAAATTATTTAATACTGCATGTTTTTATAGAAAAAAGCTAAGAAATAGAGCACTTGTAACGTTGCACCGGTGAAGACCTAAATATAGCTAGATATCTTAAAGTTTCAGATTACAAGATCCCTGACCTATCGTTTTTCCATTCACTTTTACTAGTTTTCTCTTCTATAATTCTATAACTAATTATTTCATTCAGTGTTGAAAATATTTTAATTTGTCATAAAGATTGACAAAAATCGATTTTATTTTCAGTAACAGTATACTTAAGATGATCGATTTTCTTCGTTCTGAATAATTTTAAATATCACAGAAACTATTCACCTTGTCTGTTAACGCGGGAACTATCTTACTAATATTATAAGTGCGAAAGTTTATATGGATGGATGGATGTTTGTTTGAAAGTATCTCCAGAACGGATCTCGATGAAATTTGGCATACGTATAGAGTGGAGTGGAATATACTGTGACAAAGTGAAAGAACACATAGGCTACTAATATTACTCCTCCCAACTCCTCTTCCTTCCTTGAATAATAAATTTTAATTTATATTCTATTCTTAAGAGAAGTTTGTTTTCCTATTACTTTAACACCATAAATAATTACAATAGGTAAGTTATTGAAAAGTAAATTATAAACGAACGTCAATAAAAAAAATGTAAACAATTGTTTTGACTTTGAGGTTTAACTGATTGATAGATTTTTGTAGAGTATAAATGATGGAAAAATTTAATATATTGATTATCATTAACCTAATTATATAATAAATTAAATTATTATTATTCATTCATTTTGTTGTGGTTAGTTATTTAGTAAGATTATATTTTAATTTTAATTAATTATTCGTTTTTAATATTTTATTTAATATTCTAGATTTCCTCTTAGCAACCTCAGACAAAGAATTAGCTATTTAAGGGGGAAGTATATTCGGAACCTTGCCTAAGGGGGAGGTTAATAACATATTATATTTAATTATTCGTTTATAATATTTTAGTATGTAAATGGTTAACTTGTATACAATGTGGCTACTAATTGTTTTTTTTTAGTTCCATGATAGAGTCGCGGGAGACCGCTAGTTTTGGTATAAAATTATTTAACACACATATGTTTCAAAACCAGTTTGACAATTTCCGTATCGGAAATGTCCATTGGTTAAACCGGAAACCCATTAGCGATTGCAATTACATCTTCTCACGGTATGTATTGTAAACATAGTTTTTTTTTAAGTTATTCGTTGTCAGATTAGATGCAGATCGTCGGTGGCTCAGTGGTCAAGCACTTGACTTGCAATCTGCAGGTCCTGGGTTCGAATCCCGCCATGTACCAATGTGTTTTTCGATTTCCGATTTACATATGTACATTTATTCGACGTTCTTACGGTGAAGCAAAACATCGGGATGCAACCTGCACATATCTGAGAAGAAATTCAAAGATATGTGTGAAGTCAACCAACCCGCACTTGGTCAGCGTGGTTGACTTTAGCCTAATCACCCTTAACTTAGAGTAGGCTCCGTGCCCCTAGGTGGGGACGTATAGAGAGCTGATGACGTATATTATGTATGTATTCCTTGTCATCAATTTATATATCTACCAGGGGGCTTGGAGCTCGGAGGCCATCCTTTATTAGGGTTGATTAGATTATGGTTAACCACGCTCGCGGAATGCGGATTTAATCGGATCTGTGGACAAGATATGGAATTATTTTAGCCAGTTTCTCAAAGAACCTAAAAGTTTTGATATGACTTGGGACCTCTTTGCTTTAATTTAGCAGAGATAGGTACCTAACCTAGTTAAAAGACACTCACAGAGATTACTACGCAGAATAGCGTGGGATGCAGCAATAAATTCAAATAGAAAATACATTACTGACATATCAGATACTAAACAAGTCTCAATATAAAAACAAAAATGGCCGCCTTACTTAACCTATAAAATTTGACGTAAGATGTATTTGTTTAATTTTTTTATTAAGTATCACCGTGATCGCTCAAGGCGATTAAAGAATAGCAATTGCTCACAATTACTCATACACCGGACGTAATAGGAACGTGTCTCGGCGCCGATGGTATTTATCGAAAGTAAAATTACATATGTTATTACATCATGCACTCATTTTGGCGCGCACCGGTTGCATAAAGGCGTCGAAAGCGGGAAAACGTTTTGACAGCACTGGATACCCTTAAATGTCAGGTTAATTAGATCATCCAAGATCTCACATCGTACTGGACTGGACATATGCTTGCCAAAACAGATTAAAATATTTTTATTGATCTGTCTATCATTGTACTATTAATGAACGACGCACCGATAACCCAAACCCCACGTAAAGATTATCCTATTTCTATTTGGCGTGAACTTTGATCTTCATCTTTACCTTGTAAGTGCCAAAATCATAATCGTCGTTAAAGCCAAAAGCAAAAGACTAGTGAACTCAAACGATTTTATTCAAAATATGCAGACAATCCTTTTAAATTTTAAACTCTGCGTGATATTTGGCTAAATGTACAAGCGCGTCCCTTTAAAAAAAATTTCGACAATTTTTTATAGAAGTCACGACAGTAGCGTAAACAATGTTCATAAATCCATATTAAACAAGACGTGATAGTGATAGGTGTCAATCAACAGGGGAAAGTAGAAGTCATATGTTTTATTTATCGACATTGTAAAGGCATTCAGACTTAAATACCTTTATTGAAGTGCCGTTAACAATATTAATTAAGTGCGAAAGTGTCGAAGTATGAAAGACTGTGTATGGTCAATTTTGATAATAGAGTCTAAACAAGTAAGGTAAAGTTAAAGTGCATAACAAAATTGAGTAATGGATAAAAATTTTAATAGTAAAATAAGAACGTTTAACATCTGAAATTTTTAAAAATCTAATTTATATCTTATCACGTAGCGCCATCTAGTGTATAAATAACAAACAATGATTTGTACCTTTTATTTTCTTTGAAATGTAATTGATTTATTACCAAAAAATGATATTTTACAAAAGTTATGATCCATCATAATATTCTGGATTAAAAATTTTTTTTGGTAGAATTGTAGAAAAACAACTGACAGTGACAACCTGCAGCCTGACATAATTGACATTGACAATGACAGTCCAAAATAAAAACAATTTTGTACGCATAAACACCATTTATACATATTTTCCTTTGTTTTAAATCTGCATTTATATTATTCTTATTGAATATCAATTATAACCTGCTTTGAAACACAAGAAGCAAAATGGACGTGGTGAAAACTCAGAAGACTAAATCGAACGCACCCGATGTTGCAATAACAGCAGTGCTGGGTCCAAGTCAGGAATTACCTGCTGAAACTCCTACAGTAACTGGCTACGACTGGGAAAATGGTACAGATTATAACAAAATACTCGAAAGTTACACTCGGACTGGTTTCCAAGCGACAAGTTTCGGTAAAGCGGTCACAGAAATTAATAACATGCTTAAATGTCGTTCAATACCTTTAACGGAAGAGACTTGTGACCCATATGAAGAAGATTTATTTATTAAGAAGAAGACTAATTGCACTATTTTCTTAGGATTCACTTCCAATATGATTTCTTCGGGCTTAAGAGATACTATACGGTTTCTAGTAAAAAATAAGCTTGTTGACTGTATTGTTACTACAGCTGGCGGAGTAGAGGAAGATTTTATAAAATGCTTAGCTCCAACATATATAGGTGATTTTAATTTGAGCGGAAAGATATTACGATCTCGTGGAATTAATAGGATTGGCAATTTACTAGTTCCAAATGATAATTATTGTTTATTCGAAGAATGGGTTACACCGTTACTTGATGAAATGTTAGAAGAACAAGTAAGAGAAAATGTTGTATGGTCACCATCAAAAATTATAGCTAGGTTAGGTGAGAAAATCAATGATGAGAACTCAGTTTGCTACTGGGCTTGGAAGAATAGTATACCTATCTTTAGTCCTGCTTTAACTGATGGTTCATTAGGTGATATGATGTATTTTCACTCTTATAAACGTCCTGGTCTTATAATTGATATACTCGGAGACTTACGAAGACTTAATACAATGGCTGTGAAAGCAAATAATACTGGTATGATTATTTTGGGTGGTGGTGTGATTAAGCATCATATTTGTAATGCTAATTTAATGAGGAATGGTGCTGATTATGCTGTATATGTTAACACATCTAGTGAATTTGATGGCAGTGATGCAGGGGCTAGACCAGATGAAGCGGTGTCTTGGGGAAAGATAAGAGTTAACGCAACTCCAGTGAAGCTATATGCAGATGCAACTTTAGTGTTCCCGTTACTTGTTGCTCAGACATTTGCTAAACATCATTTTAGCAATAAAAAGAATGTTTAACAATTGTTCATGTTTTTTTGTTACCAAACTTAAAACATTTATCATGTTAAATTTACATGGTACATGTCATAAATGTATTTTATGTGTTCAATAAATAATTTTGGGATATGAGTAACTCAATATATCAGTGAGAAATGTGACTTTTTTTCATTATCCTATATTTTAAGATTGTAAAAACAAAGATGGATCTTACATAGAAATTATGAATATTATAGGGCACTAACATTTATTAACTGCTTGTAGTTCTGTTTATTTCACTTAAAGAAATCTTACTAAGACTAATATTATAAATGCGAATGTTTAGATGGATGTTTGTAGGTATTTCCGAATTCTTCTTCTTCTTCTTCTTCTTCTTCTTCTTCTTCTTCTTCTTCTTCTT